AAAGATTGAGCGTTTCAGAATAAACGTGCACGTTCGTCAGAGCGTTCGGTGTTTTGTATGCAGGGTAATTACTCTGCTGATGTCAGTGTTAGTGTTGAACGTTAGGTTTAGTGTAGTATTAGAGTTAGTGTAGGGTTACTGTTAGGATTCAAATTGGTATAGAGTTAGTGATGGTTTAGGTTTAGTGTTAGTATTAGTTACAGTTAGTGTTCGTTTTAGGGTTTATTTTAGTTTTGGTTAGGATAAGGCCTAGCTAATGTTAGTGTCAGCTAGGGTAAGCAACATAGTCCCGACAATGATGCCGGCTAATGTCAGCTATAAAACTTAGCATTTATTGAAATATGTTTAAACAATATACTGTTTACATGCACTCCCCAAAAAGTATACACATTGCCTTCCAGGTAGGGTTAGGGTTAGCTATGGTAAGGGTTAGCTGGAGCTAGTAAGTGTTATAAGTAATGTCAACATTTGACAATAGCTAGTATAGTGACACTGATAGTGTCACTTCACCAAATAGCAAGTAAGCAAAGAGGCAAAATTAGAGCATGTTTGTCTGTTATGTTTGTCTGTTATGTTTGTCTGTTATGTGACTCTACAAATCCTCCAAGCAACGGGCAAAGGTATAAATATTGGGTATGAAAAGGCTCAACAAATATAGCCGAACGCAAATCAAGAGTCTTTGAAGTAGTGAAACTTTCTATTTTCATTCAAAATGTATATAAAAAAACACCAATAAATTTGACAAGAATTTATGATGTATAAAGACTCCATATACCTCACATTAAATGTACCAAATTGTATTTTTTTTAAAGTGTAGATGTTGGTGACTCTGTTGTCCAAACAGTTGCATGGACCCAGTAAATTTAAAAACTGAAACTGGCATTTTCTGTAATTTAAGCCTATAACTTGTCAAAACTCTGGCAAAGGTTTACGTGAAGGCACTATAGTATTTTTTTGGTCTAGTAACGTGCACTTAATATAAATGTAATATAGGACATATGCAGACATGTTTTAAAGCCTTTATATGTCTTAGCAAATGATAAAAAGCCTAACCGACACTATTAGCAAAGTATGGCTTTAGTATTGTACACTTTCCTTTTTCATGCAACACTGGTCCACCCATGCAACACTGGTCCACCCAGCAAATTGTCCTACATCTAGCCCACACTTTAATAAACTGTTAGGGTTCTTTAAACGTCACATCATCACAGGGGATTAGCTTCACCTTTTTAATGACATCATGGCATATCTTAGACTGCATCCAGGCCTCCTGTGGCTGTGGCTGCAAGTTCATGTGTTGGAAGCAGGAAAAATTGGTAAGCGAAAAGATCTGAGTGATTTGACACAGGCCAAATGTCTAGATGATTTGGTCAAAGCAAATCTTGTGAGGTGTTCCTGTTAAGCAGTAGTTAATACCTATCAAAAGTGGTGCAAGGAAAGACAACCAGTGAACCAGTGTCAGGTGCCAGGTGCATGTGCTTTGTTTACCTGCGGAAGAGATGGCAGCAGTATGAACTATGGATAGAAGACAGGCCGACGGAGGCACTGTTATGGTTTGGGCAATGTTCTCTTGGGAAACTTTGGGTCGTGGTATTCATGTACATTGTTACTTTGACATGTACCACCTACCTAGAGATAGTTGCAGACCGCGTACACATCTTCATTGCAATGGTGTTTCCTGATAGCAACATTTAGTCAGGAATGGTTTGAGGAACATGACAAACAATTCAAGGTGTTATCTTGGCTTACACATTTCCAGATTTTAATCCGATTGAGCATCTGTGGGATGTGCTGAAACAACAAATCTGATCCATGGATGTCCCACCTAGCAACTTGCAGAACTTAAATGATCTGCTGCTGATGTCTTGGTACCAGATACCACAGGACACGTTCACGTCATGTGCAGTCCATGCCTTGATGCATCAGAGCTATTTTGGCAGCAAAACCAGGACCTATGCGATATTAGGCAGTGTACATTTACAATTAGTTGCCCTCTTCCATGGCTGTTTATGCTTTAAAAGCTGGCATTACAATAATTTCTACAAATGATATGTGTTTCGTGTCTTTACAACATCATATGTGTTACATTACATTACACTAGGTAACTGGGTTAAAGGTAACGGTGGACAAATTGTGGAGTCAGACATGTTTAGGTCAATAATACTCTACGTTTTGTAGGTGAGAGATCATGGAGATGCAATCTAGCTTTACAATTTCACAGCAAATGGTATGTGTTTGAAAGACACAACCTTGAACTTATAAACTCAGAAAACTCATTTTATTGAACCAGACAGTACAAATAATTGTGGTACTCTCCATATAGACATTAGCTGACGTATATTAACTGAAGATTGAACAGAAGTCGAATGCCATTGAGTTGGAATTTGCTTTAAACAAATGCCACCCATTCAAATTTAAATTATTTCAACCAAATGTGCAACCCCAACCCACATTACCCCTCTACCCCCTCCAAATCCAATTCTTACTTCAGTTTTTTCTTTCTACAAGCAGGGAAACGTGGGTGCTTTTCAGTTGCAATTTGGTTGAGCTATTTTCAAATATCTCACAGTAAAAAATAAAATATCAATAGTGCAGCAAATGTACAGAACCTGCTATGGTTCTAACAGCAGAGACATACAAAGCATAATAATTAGAAAACCCAATGTGCAGCTTTGTAGAACACTGAAAATAGGGATGGTGTCCTGAAATGTCTATTAATCTTGTTCTTCATTAAATGTGGCTTTCACGAGCGAGCCCTCTATACTAAGCTGAGCATGGTTTGTTCCCATCTGTCTGCTTTATTTAGTATACGGTTATTAGTAAGTAAAATGCAATTTTATCAATAAAAAAGCTAGAGAATTAGCAGAAAAAGCAGAACAATTTAATTTGGTAATAGTTTAGCTAAGTAAATAGACCCCCAAATAAATCTCACCGAAGACCACCTAAATATCTGTATTCCCAGCCACCCAAATATCTGTATTCATAGACAAGGCTGGCCCTGTGGCTCTTTTTATTTATCTCATATGACCTCTGTTAAAAAAAATATATCAATAGAAAGAATGATCGATCTATGGTGTGATGATAAGATAGTCAAGTAGCAGGCCTACACTTCCCTATACATACTGTACATTTAGCAGACTGAGACTGCAGCCGCAAGAGCCAATACGTCAACAGGAAAACAAAGCTGTCCTTATTTTTATTGATAATTGTAGGTTACCTCAAAGCAAAGTACTGCATGAAACTTGCATAAAACACAAGAGTTTCAAGCCTTGTGTCAGAACCCAAAACTGGGTTCTGTGCTATTTTCTTTTTTTTATATTTTTTCTTTTTGTTGTGCATGCCATGACAAAAAGCTTGCAATGCCACGACAGCAGTCGCAGGCATGATCATACATAAGAAAACATAGATATGGCATGTGGGGTAACTGCACATTTTTACACTCTGTAAAAGTCAAACTAAGTTATAACAGTATAGCGTTATAAGATGTCTACCTTAAGTTGCACTTGCTAGGATAACGTCAGGCTATGTCTTACTGCTTAAAACAATTAAACTAAATTCACGAGTAATAACCCCGAGAGACCCCCCAAACAAGCTAGAGCCCTGCAAGTTAACCTTAACAGGGAACTAATCAGCCGCACATAGTCAGGAACGGAGATCGGACGCTTTACCACTGCCCAGGAATCACTAGGCCGCCAAACCTGCTCTATAATCTCCAGTAACTTGGACCTCTGGGGACATCAAAACACCATGTTAAGTGGGTAAGGACAACAGCCACAGCTTTATTTAACCCAGCAGACAGGTACACTTTAAACTTCTTCCAGAGCCTCTTCACCTTTATTCCATCCATAAACTTGCTGGCGCAGGAAACCCGCAGCCGTGACAAAATTTAAAAACAAAGAAAACACAACACAAAACAGTAAAACGCGTGGTAACCTGTGGCAACGCTCTCATTGGCTGGGGATCGCGAGACACCTCAGTCACACCCCACGGAGCTGCAGACTGAAGGCTGGCTCTCTGGGCAGACTGGAGGGGCCTCGCACCCGGCGGCATAGACCAAGGACCCAACATGTAAGTCTGCTCTAAGGCAATTTAGGCGGCCGTGAGGCCCCAGCCAGTGCGAGGCCTTAGACTGCCACCTAAATCACCTAATTAGAGAGCCGCCTCTGCACCCCGGTAGCTGTAATGATGAAGAAATACTTACCTTTCTTCTCTCACTGTGCTGCTCTGCATGCTCTGCTACATGACATGCTGAAAATAAACCAGTGTACCAAGGTAGACAAGGGGTTAAAACATAGTATTAGTGTTAAAAAACAGGGATTATCTAGAGGTTAAACCATAGTTCTGTCCGTATAAAGCAGCAAGTTAATAGTACCTTTGTTAGCCCTTGGTAGGTAAATACTGTAGTGCCCTGGAAAAGTATATCAGTGTACCAGGTAGACAAGGGGTTAAACCATGGTCTAAGTGTTAAGTAACAGAGATTGACTCAAGGTTAGACCATAGTACTATCCAAGTGAAGCATTAATAAACATAGATTGGATAATTGAGTACAGTGGCGTACATACCACGGTTGCCGTGGGGGCCCGACCGCCCTGCGGACCCCTGCGACTGGGTACCAGCTGCCACCATCTTTTGCGGGCGCCGGCCCACACGGCAAACTGCTGGGGCCGCATGCTAAGGGGTCCATCAGGTGGCCCATGCTGTCAGGGCCACCCGATGGAGACCGATTGTCAGGGGGCCCGGTCAGCGCTGGGCTCTTTAACAGTACGACCGGGCCCCCTGTGATGAGATCACAAGCTGGGACGAAGTGACTGCACTCCTCCCAGCTATCTGACAGAGCCGCGCGGGAGGAAGGAAGAGGGAGTCAGAGCCATCAGGCTGACCCCACACTGGACCCTAGGGAAGTCACCCTCCTGCAAAAGGTAGGAAACAGGAGGATGACTAAAACATTTTGTATGTGTCTGTGTGTATGTCTGTATGTATGTGTATGTATGTGTCTCTGTATGTGTGTGTCTGTGTGTGTGTCTGTGTATGTATGTGTCTGTATCATACAGACACATACATACAGAGAAACACATACAGACTGTATGTGTGTGTGTGTCTCTGTATGTGTCTGTGTGTGTGTGTGTGTGTATGTCTGTCAGGGGTTTGTGTGTATGTGTGTGTCTGTCTGTATGTGTCTGTCTGTCTGTGTGTGTGTGTGTATGTGTCTGTCGGGGGGGTGTATGTGTGTGTGTCTGTCTGTCTGTGTGTATGTGTGTGTATGTATGTGTCTGTGTGTATGTGTATGTCTGTGTCTGTATGTATGTGTCGTGGGCCCACAGATCAGTTTCGCACCGGGGCCCCATGTATTGTGTGTACGCCACTGATTGAGTACTATAGTATATTCAGTTGCAACCTAAAATATCCAACAACAAAAACAATAATAAAATTAAAAAAATAAGTTCCAATGTACAGGAAAGTGATATAGGAAATAGGTTGAGCATTAGACAGTAAAGTGTAGTAAAGCCTCTCTCCCGGTAAACTGACTGGATAGGTAGAGGAGTAAAAGAATAAAGGAGTGAAAAAAATAAAAAAAATAAAAAAAACAACTAGTGAGAGTGAGGCATGTCTATAAATCAGATAGACATCCTACAGTGCATAAGTGCCCTAAACCTACTCCAAACAAAACACTTGACGCGCGTTTCGGTGTATAAAGTATGATTATTCCAGCCTTGGCCTAAAAGGTCTCTAATATCAGTTGCTATTATAATTATTTATTATTACTAGTATTTATATAGCACTAACATATTTTCCAGTGCGTTGCAATTATAAAGAGGGGGACGGTCCTGCTCAAAAGAGCTTACAATCTATGAGGATTTGTGTTAGGCAGACTGTAATGATATTGATGTTACAAAGTTTTGGAGTCCAGTAGCCAGATCAGCAATGTTTTCTGCCAGAGGTAGCCACTCGTTACCCAGGTGGTTGAGCTCCTGAGCCTTGAGTGGCCTTCTGGTCTTAAGCAGAGATGGGAGACTGGAACAGAAAGATGATAATCGTAGTGAGGCAAGCCGAGGTCAGTGGGAAGGAGAAGCAGCAAAGTCAAAACAGTCCAAATTCAGCAACAGGAAGGAGAAACAGGAACACGCTTGATTAGAGAGTACAGGAACCACAATAATCTGGCAAAGGTACAGAGACAGGAAGTGGTTTTTATAGGCCAAGAACCAGACACCTGACCAGACACAGCTGAAGAGAGTTGTCACTGATAATCTTGACTCTACAAGCAATGGTATCAGATCTTAGGTAAATTTGCAAAAGGCAGGCTGGTGTACTGGTAAGGAAGAGGTTTAGCACCATGTAAACCAGGGTTCGAAACCCAACAGAGTCAGTTCCTCACACAGACATATATTATTAGGTGTTTTGCCCAGGGACACTCACTGGTGAGTTGCAGTGTAGAAAGCTTAAACTTAAATATCTAACCACGAACCCATGCTACCATACTCTAGTAATACTTGGGGTTTTTCCATTGTGTGAATTAACAGCAAAAACAGATGTGTAAAAAGCCACCATTGCTTTCTTTCTGGTCCTTCTACTTGGACTGTTTATCGGATACACGGATGCCATATTGGAAGTGGAGGGGGCTGCACACGCCCGCCACCAGGAAGCTGCCTCTCGAAGGCATGGATATCACTTGTGTCTCCTATGATTGCTAAGCTTCCTTACTTATATTCGAATTTGAAATTTTTTGACAGACAAAAGATATCATAAACGAGTTGTCCAACAGAGATAAAGCCTAGATTTACGACATATATACAGAGCGGTAGAAATCGTATAATGAAGTTCACTAGCTGTTCATTACTCCCCTTTGCTCCTTCTATGTACCAGGTGCTGCGACACCCATGAATTTTTTTTTTTGTTTAACCTAGTGTCGATAGAAATGTTTCGTTTTATGTCTGTCTGATATTGCATTGTTATATTATGACAAAACGAAAATAAAGAATATATATATTAAAAAAAAAAAAAGCCACCATTGCTAATAAATGTAATTACCTACAAGTTGAGTGGTTGAGCAGATTTGGCTCTTACAATGCCTTGGTGGTCCGCATGACGTGCGTATTATGAAAAAATGTCATTGCAAATAATTTGTATTAAATTTTGCCACATCATATGTATTTCAGTACACTGAGTAACTGGGTAAAAGGTAACCATGAGAAAAAAAACACGGAGTCTGGGTCGGCAAGGGTTAGCTCAACAGTCAGATAATCCCTTTCACTGTGTAGGTAAAAGGTCAGGGAGACACAATCTAGTCGTAGTGGTCATCTGGGGATGCACAAAACAAGGGTTACATAAACACTGTTTGAAAATACACAACCATGAACTTAGATATACATTTTTATTGACACGAACAGCAAACAACACCCGCCTGTTGGCTTTGCTTTGCTGGTCAATTCTTAGAGGACCTCCAAGAATGTTGCTCTTTGAAAGGGGCCCTCCAGTTAGAAGCTCAAACTGAAATGGCTCTTTTTCAAGATAGTGATATCTTCAGCATAGTGATTTTCCATCAAAATAAGCTAATAGAAAGGATTTACCATGTACCCTGACATGCAATGCCTCTAATGATTCTTTCCATCCCCATACTATTCAGCTACCCGCCACATGCTCAGAGGTAATGGCAGAAAGCTGGGAATTTTTATTATTATCCCTTTTAAAAGAAAAATGACTCAGGGTTACTTAAAACATAGAGTTTATTACAATTTTAAAATACTAGCTGCTCTATACATGCAATTGCCATGTAAACACCTAAAGAGACACGCCAGTAATGCCACCTGCTTCAGTGGTGACGCTCAAAATGGGTGGTAGGTTTTGCAAAGCGAGAAGAGAAGCCCAGAGATGGGGCGTGTCAGCTGGGCTGACTGGCAGCCTCTCAGGCTGGTCCTATTCACTGTACGCTGTGCTGTCTGGCAGCCTCTTAGGCAGGCCTTACTCAAGGCAGACCATGCAGAGATTGCTGCTAAACTGCTCTCTGCGTGGTCCTGGTGCCCTCAGCACAGTGCATGTGCTTCTAATCTTGCTCTCAAAGTTCCTTGGTGATCCCAGATACAAGACACCAGGGAACAAAATCAGGACAGAATTTTAAATTTTGTGCTAAAAAAAAAACAAATTAAAAAATCATTTTAAATCAACTATGCTTCCACTTCAGCTACTTTGGCCTACATTTCAAAATTCACTTTGGACTGTCACTTGAATAGCAAATGTAGTATTTTTATTCTTGTGTTTGATGATTATTCAAATTCTATATTTTGTATGGATTTTAAAGCTATCTGTTGATTTTTGCAATTTCGGTTTTCAATTCACCACAGATCACTCTTTATGGAATAACTCTTTAGGGTTTAATCACTATCCTCTGCTGGTTAGAGCAGTGATAATGTCAATTTCTCAGACATTGGGAATGCAAGGTTGCTGGTCAGACCTCCTCCAGTAATTGGGCAAGGCATCCAGCAATATATATATATGCCTACCTCAAATCCTCATAGATTGTAAGCTTGTTTGAGCAGAGCCTTGTTGACCTCTAAGATTTCCCTTTCTATAATTGTAAAGCGCTGCTTAATGTGTTGGTGCTATATAACTGTTAATAATAATACTTTAAATAATAGTAAATTAAAATCCAAATGGCAAAATATAGACTAAAATAGCCAAGTTGTTTTGGAGACTTTTTCCAAGTGACCAATTTCAGCCCTAAATGGCTCCCTCGGCGCTGGTGACCTCTCCTCCCACTCCGACGCCAGCTCCCCCGTCCAACGTCACTGGAGCCGAATGCGCATGCGCGGCAAGTGCCGCACGCATTTTTCAAAGTGTCCATAGGAAAGCATTTCTCAATGCTTTCCTATGGACGCTCTGCGCGATGGAGGCGAAATTCGCCTCCAGCGTCACAGATGCGCCTCCAGTGGCTGTCCGGAAGACAGCCACTAGAGGCTGGATTAACCCCAAATGTAAACATAACAGTTTCTTTGAAACGGCTATGTTTACATGTGAAGGGTTAAAACCTGAGGGACCTGGCACCCAGACCACTTCATTGAGCTGAAGTGGTCTCGGTGACTATAGTGTCCCTTTAAATTGCCGACACCTGCTGGCCATAGGAGGGGGCAAGGAGTGAACAGTTATCTGCTATTATTATTTTTTTTAATGTTTTCCACTCGCCCCTGGGGTTGGGGCGTTTTTAAGCAACAGGGCAGCAGTTTTTAATGTTTAATAACAGTTTTAATCCCTCCCCACCCCCGCGCCTTATAGTAATATGGGTGTTTTATTGACCCTCCTAGGATTTGTATTTGTTTATGTTTTCGTTTTTTAATCTGGCGGCTCTTTAGCAAGTTTTGGCCCATCACCACATAATTAACCCTCGCACTGCTAACGAACAAATAGTACTTAAAATTATTGTTCACTTTGCACAAAAGCAAATAATTGGTAATTTACGAATGTGCATCCTGCTCAATGTATCTGGGCCCTATTCAGTTTAAAATCAGGGCACTGTGATTACTCCCAAATCCTATACTTTCCCCTATGTATGTGGGCGCTCACTGCATTGCAGTTCATGTCTGCCCTGTGCATAATCCCTGCTGGCATGCAGGTCTGCCCACAGAGGGCGCTATTAACACTCCTTGCTGGTTAGTCGCTCCGGAGCCTGTGAAGTGGTCTGGCCACAGGGAGGCGCTCTAACCCCTCCTGGCTGTCCGAGGTGGAGCGCGCTAGTCACGCCTTTGTGGTCCTAAGGGGGCGCTCTAGCCATTGTTCTCTGGACGGAGAGGGCGCTCTGGCCGCTTGCTGTCGCTTCTCGCTGGTTAAGATGGCGGCGGCCTGGGCTGCGGCGGAGGCGCGGAGCCAGAGCCCGTGAATCGGTGATTCGGGAGCCGCCGCCCCCCCGGCCTTGAGGTGACAGGGCGCCGCCTGGGAGAAGCCGGGGCCCGGGAGACGAGGCCGCACGTTCGGAGGACACAGAGGGCGCGGGAGGGATGTGACCGGGCCCCCGCCGGCGGTCCATCCCGGGGGCGGATCACCAGACACCGGGGATGGGCCAGCAGGTAGGCCGCGTGGGGGGAGACGGACCCACCGCTCCGCCACCGCCCAGGGGGAACAGGAACACCGGGACCAAAGCCAGCATCCACCCCGGAGCCGGGGGAGCGGGGGCCGGCAGCCGCAGGAGGGAGACCACCGGCAAGAATAACCCCGAGACCGGGTTCAACATCTTCACCCAGCACGGTGAGTGACATATATATACCGCCATAGCGAGAGAACCGAGAGCTATACACCGGGCACAGGGCAGGGTGATAATACACCGGGCACAGGGCAGGGCGATAATACACCGGGGGCAGGGTGATAATACACCGGGGGCAGGGTGATAATACACCGGGGGCAGGGTGATAATACACCGGGCGCAGGGCAGGGTGATAATACACCGGGCGCAGGGCAGGGTGATAATGCACAGGGTGATAATACAACGGGCACAGGGTGATAATAGACCGGGCGCAAGGCAGGGTGATAATAGACCGGGCGCAGGGCAGGGTGATAGTAGACCGGGCGCAGGGCAGGGTGATAATAGACCGGGCGCAGGGCAGGGTGATAATAGACCGGGCGCAGGGCAGGGTGATAATACACCGGGCACAGGGCAGGGTGATAATACACCGGGCGCAGGGCAGGGTGATAATAGACCGGGCGCAGGGCAGGGTGATAGTAGACCGGGCGCAGGGCAGGGTGATAGTAGACCGGGCGCAGGGCAGGGTGATAGTAGACCGGACGCAGGGCAGGGTGATAGTAGACCGGACGCAGGGCAGGGTGATAGTAGACCGGACGCAGAGCAGGGTGATAGTAGACCGGACGCAGGGCAGGGCGATAGTAGACCGGACGCAGGGCAGGGTGATTGTACACCGGGCGCAGGGCAGGGTGATTATACACCGGGGCAGGGTGACTATACACTATACAATACTTTGTAATATACATATAGCCCTACACAGGGCAGGGTGATCATATACTGTACAATATACATCTGCTGTAAACAGGGCAGTGATAATATGCTGTACAATATACATATAGCTCTACACAGGGCAGTGTGATATACTGTACAGTATACATATAGCTCTACACAGAGCAGTGTAATAATACACTATACAGGCTACCTATGGCAATACACAGGGCAGTGTGATAATTATACTGTACAATATATAGCTCTACAGGGCAGTGTGATAATACACTACAGAGGTTTCCTATGGCTCTACACATTGTAGTGTGTTAACATACTGTACAATATACATATAGCCTTACACAGGACAGTGTGTTACCATAATGTACTATATACATATAACCTTAGATAGGGAAGTGTTAAGTCCTATGGCACATACAGCTCTACACAAATCAGTGTGTTAACTTTCTGTACAATATACATATAGCCATACACAGGGCGCAGTGTTACTATACTGTGCAAGACAGATATAGCTCTTTGTAGTGCAATATGTAAACCTTATGTACTGGTCACATATAGGTAATAGATTATTACTATAGAGGGCAGGGCATATACAGCTTTAAATAGGGCGGAGTATTAACTTACTGTGCAAGACATATATAGCCTTACATAGGGCAATGTAGTGATACTCAATGCAGCGGATATTTAGCTCAACATTGGACAGTGTGTTTTCATATAGTCCAATGCACTTATAGACCTTAATAGGCAGTCTGTTAATACATGCCGGGCACATAGATCCTTACTGAGGATGGCATATTCTCATGCTATATAGCAGGGGTCCCCAATCCCAGGGCTGTGGACTGGCGTCAGTCCGCAAGAATTTATTGCCGGTCAATGAAAAAGCTTTCACGTGACGCCGCAAGATATTTCCCCGATTTCTTATGATCATAGCACCGGGAAATGTGCCTCCCTGTCCCCTGCCGGCTCTACAGGACCGGATGGGAGATCAGAGATCTCCCTCTCCGGCCCGCTCTCAGTGTCACGCTGGCATTGGAGGGAGGGAGAGAGGACCCGGGGGAGTGCTAACCTGCAGCTCCGTCTACTTCTCCTCTCGCGAGCTTGGAGCATTCTCGCGGTTACCACGGCAACGCTCCGAATTTCGTGCGAGTGAAATCTAGCAGCTCCTGATGAAGCTAGAGTTCACTCTCACCACTGGGACCACCAGGGATTGCAGATAGGGGGGATGTCAAAAATAAAATAAAAAAAATTAATATATATATATATATATATATATATATATATATATTTTTTTTTTAAATAAAAATATATATTTATTAATCTACTCCCCAACCCCACAGACCCACAACCATTCTCCCCTATACACACACACACACACACAAACTGCATCCCTAACACATACCATTGGGTTTTATTTCTGGCTGATGCCGGTCCACAAAATATTTCTCCTCTTTTCGCCGGTCTCCGGGTGCTAAAAGGTTGCAAAACACTGCTATAGAGGACACATAAAGTCCTGTACAGTGCACTATACAAATTTAGTATCAAGAACATATATAACTATATATTGGGCACTCTTAATATACAATAGATGGCACACATAGTCCTGCATCGGACTCTTGATATTGATGGCTCATATAGCCTGACATAGGGCATACTGTTAATACATTAAATAGAGCACTATCCTAGATTGTGTAAGATAATGCATTAATAATTCTACATAGAGCTTTCTAATACTTTTATTCTGTTCCATTGGAGATGCTGACAAAACCTATAGACTTGGTATGCATTTTTGACTGGGTGGGAAACTGCTGCTCTGCAGTAATATCATTGGCTCTGTGGTGTTAGAGAAACTGAGCATCACTGGGATGTTGACTTTTATAATGCCAAAGGTTAACCATCATTATTGCTGATCATCATGGGAAATTAATTTCCTCAGTAGTTGAAATGTAGTTATTTGAGGTGATTATCATGGGAAATGTACCAGAAGTTATCATTCATTTTATTATTGTAGGGATAAAGGGCCAATTTGTGGCTTCACAGCCGGTGTAGAATTGCAACCCCTGTAATGTTTTGACAGCTCTTAGTTGAACTTTTACACACTAGCTTTGGGGTGGTAACTTTTTGGGACACCCCTTTACTTGTTTTACCTTAAAGATGCCTTGGACAGGAAAAAATATTTAAGTGAATCCTGAGGGTTGGATTATTACTACACCTTTTAATGCATCAAAACGGCATATGAACCATATCAAACCGATACTTGTACACATGTACTTGTCTCCAACTCTCTACTTTTCCTTTCTACCTATCTCTTGAAGGCAAGCACCCTAGACCTGCAAGTTGGCAGGAGAGGAAAGTCAAATAAAAACACGCCAACATTCTGCAGAACGCAGAAGGGAGCGGGTACGCAGTTGCATACCCCAAGAAGCGGGGGGACTGGCACTCTACTCCCTAAGCCTAACCCTTCACATCAAAGCTTTTGTATATAGTTAATATTGCTTGCCACCTACACCAAAATTCCAGACGAAGACACCCACAGAAAACTCGATGTATATAACATGCCTAAACTGACAACTGTCATTTGCATTCTGTTAACCATTGTATGACACTGCGCTGTCACGTACATAAATGTAACCGCTTCCATGTTTACCATCTACTTCGTCAAACCAAAAATAAAGAATTAAAAAAAAAAAAAAAAGGCATATATTAATATATGTTAAAGAAAATTCACCAAAGGTGATGTCCCTTCCCCAAGTTCTCGTTTTAGTCCTGTGAGGTCCACTTTATGCACTAAGTGACTAACATACTGAGAAAAGTACTGCAAATGTACATATCTTCCTTAAAATTATTATGGGCACTGGCTGCATGCTCAGTAGTGAGTTTACATCTGTTAACGGACTTCATCCTCTTTGCTAAAACAAAGGTAGTGTCAAAAAGACATGGAGGAAAGGTACATTTTTACTGATCAGAGAACAAGTGTTGTTCTATATACAGAACAAACCATTTTCTTTGTTTTCACTGTGTAACACAAGTAGGCAGAGATGCCTGAAATGTACAAATAGGTTGTGGTGGTGACAGTTACATAGCTGATAAACGGCGTGCCCATCAAGTTCAGCTTTTCTCACATTTGTTTTTGCTGTTGATCTAAAGAACAAAATCGAGTCTGAAGCACTTCCAACTTTGCAACAAACTAGGGAAAAAAATACTTCTTGACCAGAGAATGACAGTCAGATATCTCCTTGGATCAAGATACTATTATCCCACTAATTAAAAATTATATCCTTGAATATTATGTTTTTACTAGTATTTAGCCAATTTGCTGTTTAAACATCTCTATAGACTCTGATAAAACCACCTCTTCAGGCAGAAAATTCTACATCTTTTATTGTTCTTTCTGTTAAAAAAAACAAAAACCCTTTCCTTTGCCTTAGACTAAATCTCCGGTCTAAATGTGTGTCCTTGTGTCTTATGTATAGTCCTGTTTATGAATAGATTTCCAGACAATGGTTTGTATTGGCCCAGATTATAATTTTTATAATGCTACTATATCCCCTCTGAGGCACTATTTTTCCAAACCGAGGAGATTTAAAATGTGTTAATCTTTCTTCGTGGCTAAAATGCTCTTTTCCTTTTTTATTAATTTTCTATCCATCATTAGAACAAGTGCCAACAATGGCACATCATATCCAGATGTGTGAGGGCAGCTACGTGTTATAGTTACATGGTGTGTACTGACTTTTTAAAAATCTTTACAGACCGACTGTGTAGGAAAGCATATAGAAGTTTTCTTTCTATAGCTTGCCTCTGATAGATCGGATTGGGTATCTAATGCTGTAATCTAGAACTAAGCTTTTGATATTTTATTATTTGCAAAGTGTAACAGAGAAATGTCTGGCAGGCAGAGTGCTATATTCAATGGATTAATAATTAACTGCCTCTGGCATCTCTAGTGCATTTAATATAGGGGGCTGAGTAATGCAGGACACTTAGGAGGTATGTTAACTGGAGTCTGGCATTTTGTTTCATATATGGTGTACAGGCTTCTTCTTTTTTTTATTTTTTTATATTGACATCTGTCAGTGGTAACCCACAGAATAATGAAGGGCCAGCATAGATGCAGTACCTAATGGTTTGCTATGTGCCCACCTAAATATCTCATAAAAAAAAAAAGTTAAAGGAAAAGCGCACACAAATATAAACACTGTTTTAAATTTTTACAACGCTGCTTAAAATCACCTATCTTAGCAAACAAATATGGGTATTCTGTTACAGCATATGGCCATATTGTGTTAAGCCCACCACTGTCACAGTACCCCAATATCGGTGGGTTTTACACTAATTTCAACATGGAAGATTTACATGCTAACTAGCAATACTTGCTTGCAGTTTAAACTGCTTACAGAGATTTCTCAGTTTATGCTTTTCTGTAGTCACCCCCTAAGGGGCACCATAAATATCTCCACATGGACTTTGAGTCCCTCTTGGGCATAGATATTTGTGTGTCTGTGTTTGTTGCATGTATGTATATATCAGTTTAGAATACAAAATGTATGGGGTTTTTTTGTTGTTGTTTTTTTTTTATTCCATTCAACAAACAGGCATGTCAACGTTTCCTAATAAAAGATAAAAAGCAAAGAGAAACCAGTCTACTTGCTTTTAACCAGGAGTTGATACCAACACACAGAGTATTGTGTGTGTGTGTAAAAGAATATAGATGAATTAGCTAGTAGCATACATAGTATCAAAGCACCATGGATAAATAAAACCAGACCTTAGTCACAGCTGAGTAAATGTATCTCACTAGATACAGTTTATATTTAACAGTGCATAAAAAAAATAGTCCACAGTATCAGTTTAGGTAGAAAGTAAAAAATTATAGTTCAGAGATCAGCCCAAAAGTGTCTATTCACTGTTAGCTCATATATATGGTAACTGGCTTGTATACCCTCTATGGAGACAGCAGGGGAACTGGCCAATTGGAGCTATATATATTCTAGTAACAGACTAGTATATTGATCAAATACTAGTGTGATACATAGAAAATAGTATTATATAGGTAGATGTGTGAGAAAGACAGTTCTACACCTATTGTCATTGAAAATCCTGAAAAAAAAGTTATCTTCTGGTGTCAATCATTGAACTGTACCATACATAGTTCAGATGCATCAGATTCTTCTTGTAAAAGACTTTATTAAGCTTAAAAAATGCGTGTATAAAATATGAAAAAATAAACAATCCCTCACAGATGGCATAAAGAAAGGGGGAACCTTCCTCCCAGCAGTCTGTATACTCTAGAAATGCTGTCTCATCAGAGCCGGCTTCAGAGTCCTTGTTGGTAACTGCTCGTCGGGGAGATCCACTGCGTGCGTTCCACTTTGCTTCGGTATGCGTTCCACTGTGAGTGTGGGGATGTCCTGTCACTTAATCGGAGGAACATGTCAACGTTTCCTACCTTCTTCGGTCCTTTATGAAGAATATATATACATATTATTTATACCAGGGCTTGACAAATTTACTTGGGATCTAGGAGTTTTTTTATTTTTTTATTTTTTTTAAACAAAGCAAGCTTTTTCAATGACAAATCTTAAATGGACACTAAAGTCACCAGAACCACTACAGCTTAATGTAGTGGTTCTTTGTCTATATCCTGTGCTTTTTCAAAGAAAAGACAATGTTTGCATTGCTGCCTAGTAACACCTCTAGTGAAAGTCACACGGTCACTAGAGGTGCTTCCTAGTCCAGTGTGCATAGAATGCAGCACTTACGTTCAGCGTCTCCACAATTTACATGGGGCCACTGCATGTCCCCTAGAAACGCATTGATTCAATGCATCCTCTGTGAGGAGATGCTGATTGGTGCAGTGTTTTGCTGTACATGCGCTATAGTCTCCCTGTGCTTTCCTATGAGATAGCATTGGATATTCTGAGATCTTTAAAACTGATTGATTATCTCAGCCATTGAGGCAGGGCGAGCTGCGTCAAGACCAGCACAGTGTGTGGGGAAAAAAAGGTGAGTAAAAACACATATCTCATGCAATTGAAGGGGGGCTGGTCGCACACACATTTTCCCATACACCCACAAATTATTTTATTGCAATTAAAGTCCGTCCAGTGTGGCTGCTGTAATCTTCAAGCTCTTGCTCTGCTCCCTCGCGTGCGATTTGGTGATGCTGGGTCTGGAGTGACGTCATATTCTGACTCCAGATGTCACTGCAGGGCGCAGTAGGTTAAATAATCTGCATTATGCTGCTTTAATATATAACTGAGAGGTTGATGCCTCTTTAATATGTTTACTGAGACCTTTGTGTCACTTGGCACTCATTAGCCAATGAATTCCATCCAGTGGCAGGCAGAACTTGTATTGCTAATGCTGAAGTATTAGCTATATATGTGAAGAGGGGCTGCACTGCAGGCACCCAGGGGACCTTGGTAAGTGTCAGACTGTTTAAAATGGTTTGGCTCTTAACAGTATAATGGTGCCAGGGATTTCCTGGCAGCATAACCACACTAGCAGGTTGTAATGTTTATGGTGGTTACACTGTTCCTTTAGCTGAGTTGATGTTCCATCATTTAAACTTGTGACGTTAAACAAAGTTGTGGGTAAGTTGCCAACTGAATTCCAAAAATGAACATCAAAATAAGAAATGGAAATAACATACTTGCTTCTTGACTTATCTAATTTCACTTTCAATCAATCATCACTTGATTAAAGTTTATCTAGCCTTACGTCAAGCGGAATTCTGTAACTTTAGTTTTCTTAGTTGAAAAATGTGAGTGCAATGCCCTGCCTCCAGCCTTATATTGCTTATATGAGCATCAACACATGTAAAGCCTCACAGTCCTTTGACTGCTAAGTGTAATTTTTCAATTTTTTACACACTACTTAAAGGACCACTATAGGCACCCAGACCACTTCAGCTCAATGAAGTGGTCTGGGTGCCAGGTCCATCTAGGATTAACCCTGCCTGCTGTAAACATAGCAGTTTCAGAGAAACTGCTATGTTTACAAATGGGTTAATCCAGCCTCTAGTGGCTGTTTCATTGACAGCCGCTAGAGGCACTTCCGCGCTTCTCACTGATTTTCACAGTGAGAAGACGCCAGCGTCCATAGGAAAGCATTGATAATGCTTTCCTATGAACTGGCTGAATGCACGCGCGTTTCTTGCCGCGCATGCGCATTCAGCTGATGACGACCGAAGGAGGAGGAGAGTCCCCAGCGCCGAGGGAGCCCGGCGCTGGAGAAAGGTGATTGTTTTATCCCCCTTCAGCCCGGTGGGAGTGGGACCCTGAGGGTGGGGGCACCCTCAGGGCACTATAGTGCCAGGAAATTAGTTTGTTTTCCTGGCACTATAGTGGTCCTTTAAATATTGGCATTTTAAATCTCTACAAATCAGTGTAGTATCCTTTGTTCTGGTGAACTTGAAACATAACAAAATTGTATGTTAACCTGCAAAAATCGGGTGAATTTGTTTTGCAAATTTGACTTCTACTGGAGTGAAACCGGTTAAAATAATTTGTCTGATTAATATTCACAAGAGTCACTTGTGAAAACCATTGATTTATAAAGCAGGCATTAGATGCTACCAAGTACGAGATCGTGATTCAATTGAAATAATCAAATTTCAAAGGATTGGCATTTAGTAAATGAGAATTACAAGTTTGATTATTTGCTAGATTAGCACTGTTAAATTGTAATATGTAAAAAGCACTTTAATCACCACAGAGTGCTTTTAATTTATGAACATTGCAAATAGTTTGGGGGGGCGGAGCCTGGAGCTGAACCGGACCGGACGCCATCTCTCCCAGCTCCGTCGATCGCACACACACAATCTAGGCAATATCCTGGAGACTAGCCGCCATCCGACGGTGTAAGCATCAGCTACAGCCTGGGGACACCACACCGAATCCCCAGATGCCCTTCCAGTACTCCCCGAAGCATCTAAAAGGAAGACGCAGGACCGGGGCCTACCACACACCCGCCAACCGCGACCTCGAGTTTCTCTGGGGCGGGGACCCCGCGGGAAACACAGCAGAGTGGTGGCCGACCCTTACATCACCTGCTAACACAGCAATGGGGCGTAGAAATCAGAAGAGTACCCCCAGTAACGCTCCAGAACAGAGGGACATAGGAGCTATGCTCCAACGGCACACCTCCGCCAAGATGGCGGCCGCGGAAGGCCCGACCTCACCAGAGGCTCCCCACACAGAGGCATCTGCAACACTTCAGCTGCAGAACACAACAGAGAGCTCACAGCAACAGCCCACAGCATCAGCAGGTAACTCTGAACCTGCAACCAAACAGGACCTCCAAACCCTGTACACTATGCTGCAGGACATTCAAAACCTCCTCACTGCGGACCTGCCTATCCTAAAATCATCCCTACATCAACTAACAGGCAGAATGGAGGCAACTGAAGCAAATATTAAGGAGCTAAGCCAAGAAACCTCCACCATGCAGGCATCTATACTCCAACTACAAGCAGCCCAACAGGCCCTTACACTACAGGTGGCAGCGCAGGAGGACAGGTACCGCCGCAACCACGTAAAAATAAGGGGCATCCCGGCCACGGTCCCCCAAGAGGAACTGCCACACTACGTCAGAAGGCTGCTGGCTTCAGTACTGCCACCTGCTACTGCTAAAAAAATAACCATCGCTGGGCTATATCGAATACCAACGTCTACCTCAACTACCGCCAAAATGCCCGGCGACGTCATACTCCGCTGCGCACTACCTCAAGACAAGGGGCAAATAATGGCAGCGGTAAGAAACAAGACTCCACTGCCCTTTGAAGATTCGCAACTGTCCTCTTACCAGGACTTATCCAAGGCCACACTACAATGGCGAAAATCCCTGAACCCTGTCACCACCCGACTGCGGGCAGAAGGAGTGCCCTACAGGTGGGGAACACCACGATCCCTCCTTGTCTCATACAAGGGGTCCACGCAACGGCTAACTATGGGGACTGATATCCCAGCATTCCTTGCAGCTCTAGACATGCAAGAGGCAATGGTAGCACCAACGGACTCAAATCGCGCTCACGGATGGGACCCATCCAGAGTGGTACCATTTGTGCCAAGAACTGTAGCCGACTGCCCACCTGATTCCTGACTGGCAGGGACATTTCCAGCCCGGTCCAAACCTAACGGAGGGACTCACTGATCCGGCAGCCCTAGGCTGCAAAGTTGCAGAGATGTAAAGTTCTGCTTGTTCTTGTGTTACCTTTTTTTTTATGCCGTATGTCTATGTCCCTTGCGGTAGAATCCCCATTAAAGGACACAATTTTCAGCCTGGGCCCACTGGGCATAGAGACACCAGGCTCACTACACCCAAACACTCACGAAGCTGCTCCATCTATGGCCATAGTCCGGTTACATCTAGCCACACATGACCAATCATTGAAGCGCACACACCCCCCCACCCCGCTACCCCCTTGGTTAGGGGCTATGCCCCTCTCGAGAGGTCAACCATGCACAAATCATCCCCCCCACCCCACCCTGGGGAGGAGGGCAAAGCTTACACCACCGACACTCAAGTGCAGATATCGCTTGATTTAACTAAGTTAGACATGTTATTAAACCTCTTGTGATCAAAACCCATGCTAATGTAACATGTTTTTGCTACCATCCTGTTCTGAGCGACATTATTTTAACATTATAAAATGTGCTGATAAGTTCATTGTTCCAATTGTTAAGTCTGAAAAATATGCTCGGGGAATGCTATTGGAGCACCATGAGCTTGCTTGTTATCAACTCAAAGCACGATAAAAATAAAGAATAAAAAAAAAAAAGAAAAAAACATTGCAAATAGTTTGACTCTTATTGTGTCACTTGCTGTACTAGGCATCTGCAGTCCATCTGGTCTGAGCTGCTATGATTAAGCAAAGGTTCATACCTTTGTAATATCAGGTTTAGGCAGTATAAGTGTCAGTTGATGGCTTTCATCCAATGAATACTGGCTAAATCTGGTATGAGTTCGGATGATGTGGTATGAGTTGGTAAGATAATGTCGAGTTAGAAACATGTAATATGTACTTCCACTTTTATCAGATCAACTCAGATAGGAAAGACCATTGGTATCTTACACAGTAAGGCAAGCATGTCAAACTCAAAGGCTAAATACACGAGGTTTAAGTTTGTGAACCACACAAAAAAAAACATTTTTTTCGACCGATATTTTTGGCCAATATTCCAAATTTCTTTTTTGTTTGTAAGTATCGGCCAATAATCACCGGTAATACTGATAACGAGGTGGGCTTGCGCGTCCATAAGGCGGCACAAACGGCTTTCTTAGGGCGCACAGGCGGGGGGGAGCTAGAATAGAGTAACCGGCAGGAGGTGGGCGCACAGCAGCTTAGTGATACCGGGCCGAAATATAACCTCATATCTAGGCCCCGGTCTCATTAAGTGGCGTGCGGGGGAGCAGAGCAGAAACATCACAGCTCCCTCACCGCCCTTCTATTTGCGTAGCTAGCTGCCCAACTCCACGACCACCCAGCAAGCAGTCTTCCTAGAAAATCCCTTAACTTGCCGCTGGCCACCCACCCGGCTTGGAGTTAAGGGGCTTGCATATCCCATATTGTCGTGCCCTGCTTTACTCCCCTTGTGTATCTAGTGTCCTGCGTCTATATCCCCACTTGCGCCGTCCGCAGCATGTAACAAAGCCGAAACTCCTCGAAGGCAGACCTGGTAGACTTCACATCAGGACGTGACGGTGCATGCCTCCGTCCGCCTCCTTCGCTCCCCCTGCTTCAATTAATCTCCGCCTGCCACCCACCTCCAGGTGACCGGAGCAATGAATATCTTTGCCGGGCCGCAAAGATATTCATTGTGGGACGCAAGTTTGACATCCATGCAGTAAGGTAAGTGTAAAGGCATTCATTACCAGTTTGGTTACTTCTTTTCTGATCCTCATCCTTTTCTAGTTTCAGTTCATCTGATAAAATTGAAAAATAGTATGCTGTAGTGATTATGGTACTTGTTGTAGCTTTAATTCTGCTCCATACGCCTTTCTAATACACAGCATGGCAATATGTTAAACATTTATTTGAAATGCAGCGGGTTAAAACCTCAAGGGTCTTTTCTTATGGACCGTTTTCTTTTCATTTGAAGTTTTTATCTAGTTTCATTGTGACAAGGATTTACAAATCCCAGGGCTCTGAGAAATGTTTCTGCCAGTGTCTGTCTTGTCAACCTTATGCTGTTAAATACTTTGTTATTCACTAGTGATATTTTAAAATAATCAGATGCACCCGTAATGCTGTTTTGAGCAACAAATACCCAGGTGGGTGTCTGGTTTTATGACCGTTCCTAAGCTGGAGATGAAAGCTTGGGATAATTGTACTAGTAAAATACAAACAGTTATTGTTCAAACACAGACATCATACAGTGAGTGTCTTGTGGTTCAGAAATGTTTCATCAGGACAACTCATTGATGTAGTCTGGCCACAGGGCTACACTAGTTATGACTTCTTTCATTTGTGTTTTTGATGCATTTATTACATTGGAGCATCAGCTTGATGTTTACAGAAGTAAAAAAATAATAATAATCTCTATAGGTCTCCTGGCACAACCACTGCAATGGGATATCATTATGGCAGTGCAGGTTTTTCTGTCCTTTAGTCCTGTCTCAGGCAAGCGGCATGCCGGCTGTTCTAGGTAGGACAGTGTATGGGCTGCTAGTGTGAGGGCTGTACCTCTGACTGGTAATCACTCCCTCGCAGTCCAAATTTAAATATGGATGTCATGTATAGCTGTAATATTGAAGCAAGTCTATTATAGGATAGGGTCAGAATCGGTAGGCTCCAGGATGAAAACATTGTTTTTTTTCTTTTGAAACACCCATTATAAATAAGTTACATAGTATATTGCACCTAACATGTGACTGCCTAGAGCGCTCCTGTAATTCTGCTGTTTAAAAATTCTAGGGGTTTTCATAGACCTTTCACAGGATGACTGTAATAATTATTGGCACAATAACGGCATATATTTCCACACAGGTATCATGTTGCCAAATAGAATCTGAGTTGCTGCTGATCAGGTATCTCGGTGATCGTAAAATTGAGAAGGTTTCTAAGCCGAAGGACAAAGCTGTGAATCAGGATAGTAATCTGAGATGGTATAGTTTCTTTGCCTGTAAGACTCGAGGATGAAAACATTATATATGGTGAATCATTCTGCATTGTGTTGGATCTTTACATCGAGCACTTGATGTATTTGGTAAAGTTGTCTGGGGTCTAGATTCAGATTATATAAAAATCGTGGACCATAATTAAATTGGTGAGCAGCTGATCATTTCAGTGTTGGTTTCCTACTAACTTTATAGTGAAATTGACAAGGAAGCAGACTATCCCATAATGCAGCAATTTAGAATTGAGATTTGTACTATTGAGACACTTTATTGATCCTCTTTAGTAAACCAGTGTTGTAGTGTAGCTGCCTTTCAGAATGGTTTAACAACAAAACCGTGGTCTGGCTGGCGTCCACTGCCACCATTTCACGTGGAATCTCGTGCACTGACCTGAAGCCAGTGCATATTATTTTAATTCAAGCAAGGTTGGATTGAGAGAAGGCGAGGCAGGAATTTGAAGGTGGATGGTTCTTTGTGACCTGCTTGTGATGGTATTAAAAAAAGGAAGAGTTCCATATTTGTTCTGTAAATGCCAATACGTGTGAGCTCTTGAAATGATTATATATGTTTATATACTAAAATGCTTGCTGAACTAAAAAGAAACATTTTTACATTCTATACAACATCTGCAACCCTTATTATGATGCTCCTTAGGGGGTATAATCTGCCCATTTTGCCATGGGAGAGTTTAATACAAATCATGCTGTTTTTGTAGCTGGCAATCAGGAGACGTTTTATGGTTTTTCTGCTATTTGTTCTATATCCTTTTATCATTTAACTTCCATGCCACTATTCCTCTTGCGGCATCTGATGTTTATTAGGGTAATATGTAGAAGAGTACCAAAATATACTTGAAAAAGAAGGGTCTGATTTCTCACAGTAATGATTTATGTAATTGTTATAACTTTTCCTTGTGTTTAAAATATGTAGTCGGTATTCGCATAACACAAATTTAAATATTGAATGAATGAAAGCCTGTCTTTTCTAGTAGTAGAGGAAATGTGTTGTATATTGCAAATGTAAGACTGTTTAGAAACTTGTGAATTTGTCAGAAATTCAAATTTTACACCAAAATAGCCACAAATTCACGCTTTAACGGATGATTGTGAACTGCAAAATTTGGCCCACTTGATGCGCTGAAGTTAAATATGAAAGCATAATGTGTGTGTTTTTGTTTAATGCAGTGAAAATTGCACCTGGGTAATTACTTTTTTAATTTTGTTCTGCTTTTTCTCAGTTTGAATTTTTTGGCCAATCAAAGGTATTGCTCTAAAAAGGATTCCAAATGATTCCATACAGTAAATATGACCGGGTGAGAGTAAATACCTTATTGGTGGGGGTGTCAGAGACCTGGGCACCCATCACCCATGCACTTGGGATGTCTGTTTAATATAGACATGCAGTGTTTTCACTGATTTAAAGGACCACTATAGTGCCAGGAAAACATACTCGTATCAATTAGTCAGTACAATCATTTAGTATATTTATTTTTTCAGTTATGCCTGGCAATCATTCATAGTGCGCTGTTTATCATAGCAACATTTTGTATCAAGTCCTACACATTTTATTTTTGGTTACATTTTTATTTATTTGTTTTCATTTTTATTTTTTTCATTTGAATGGTTCGATTACAAATTTATTTATCTAGCTGACTACTTCATTCCCATTGACCAGCTTGCACAATCGATCTGCATATACTTATTTTTCTCAGATATCTCTGTTTATTATTGATTATTAGTTATTATTGTCGATCTAAACAATTTTAATCAGTTTTTTTCAATTGGAGCTTTAGACCCAACGGCATTTTCAGGGTCATATTTCTAACTACCATTGTTTTTGTTATTCAGCACGTTTTTCCAATTTTGATTTCTTACGATATAGATTTATTGATATACTCTTATCTATATCTGATTCCACTATTACCTTAATTATCAAGATTATGGATAGGCTATGTAGGCTCTATTATGATTAATGTCCTAGCATATATTTACTTTATTACTCCTCTATCAATGGACCACTGCACCCATATATCTTTCCTAAATAGCACAGACGTGTGCTGCGGCTGAGTGTATTTATATTACTCAAGACATCAGAATTTACTCTATATAATTAGTTTGTATCTTTTGTTTTTAACTTTATAGTATTCTTGTTGTATCCATTATTACTATTTATTCCTTTGATACTATTGATACCTAATAAACTTTTTTTTTGTTTTTAGACCCTGTGGTCTTTTTACGTGTGCTCTATATCTTCAATTTTTTTATTTAGAAGTTTAGGCACAGGCTATTTTCTCCCAATTTTTTAGGTACACTATTCCCTTTGTCTGTTATTAATTTCCACTAGGGGTTACCCCCCTGTATTTAGTGTACTTTGGCTGTATTTGAGTAGTTTTCTTCTATTCATATATTATAGGGTTAAGCCCTGCAGACACAGCTGGAGTGACTTTACTGGTGCATAGATCACAAGTGGTGTTCCCTTATCTATCTGATTATTTGTTTTTTTCTTTAGAAAAACTGCAATGATTACTTTGCAGGACCAAGACATCATCAGACAGCTACTGAATTCTAACGGAGTCTGACTCTATTAAATGACGCTGGACATTCTCATCCATCATCAGTGAAAACTCTATAGGAAAGAATAGACAATGCTTTCCTTTGGGCAGTGCATAATGCGCTTTTGCAACGCATGCACATTAGCCCTCCATGTTTTGTATATGGGCATGAAATGCATTATGAAAACATTTTTAAACAGTGCACTTTTGCAACGCATGCACATTAGGTCCCCACGTCAGAGGAGACAGAGTGCAAACAGATCGCCGATGGATATTGGTGCTGGAATCAGATGAATAAATGGAGGTTTTTTTAACACTTTATCTGCTATGGAAGTTTGGTGCAAGGGAGAGGGGGACCAAAGGGCACTACAGTGTTAAAAATACAAATTTGTATTCCTAACACTATAGAATCCCTTACAATTGAAGCCAAGGCTACTTAAAGGAACACTATAGTCACAAGAACAAATAATCACCAGGACACTTAGAATTGGTGATCTCAGCCAATCCAGTGCTTTCCATTGGGAAAGCATTGTGATTGGCTGAGATCGGAGGGGACGGAACCAGCGCCAACGATCCCATGTGACAGGAATGATATATATCTCTATCTCAAAATACAGTTAGAATAAAATTACATATGTATATAGAATTAATTTTATTTATAGATTTAAAAATATTTTATTTATTTTATTATTGTAATTATACGTATATAACTGATGAAAGTTCCAAGCTAGGAACTGAAACGTTGACTCATGACAAATACTATTGTTATTGAATCCAAATATATATATTTCATTCCGAGTGTATTTTAATACTAATATTCATAGTTATATTAATATTAAAATACACTACGTACGCCGTTGCATATATATGATGTACATATAATATATATATATTCATATTAAATTAATTTTAAACATGTTTAATTGTATTTTTTTAACATTTCCCACCAGCAAGGGGACTGTCTGACATTCCAGACAGTCCCCCTGCTGGCAGATCCACAGGCAACTATACGGGGCCATGTGATCGTTCTTTGAGACTGATCACATGGCCCCTGGGGGCCTAATTTGCCGTGGGAGGGCTGTCAGGCAGTCCTACCGAAGTGGATCGCTGGGATGGTGAGTATCCCGGCTCTCCTGGGGGCTTCAGCAATTATGGGGTTCTATGTCGCTATAACGGCTTTAAAGCCCATTCTAATGGGGACGACATAGAACGCTGTAACGGCATTAAGGTGTTAACATGTGGAGGAATTCTGTTTACACAGCAGTAAACTGCAAATAGAGACATTTTAAAGCACAACCATAGGAAACCACTGATGCTCTGGATTATGTAGAACTTGCTAATGCATGGCTCTGATGTATGAATGTTATAATTGCTAAAAAAAAATACTTTGAGAAATTTGATGGAGTTTCTGTTTAATGAAATTTAATATTCATTAAAAAGTATTTAATAATAATCTGTGAAGTGTACATGAATATGACATTGGTCACTCCTGTGATAACATTTTTGGAATACAAATGGCTCTGGTCTTATCTCAGTGCCCAGTCAGATAGGAGATACGGGGTTATCAATTGTTGGGATTTCATGGTGCATTTCAAAATGTAGGGCAAAAGAGAATTAGAAAAATTGTCCAAGTTAAATGGTTACTCCAACACCTTTTTAGTTAAAAGGAACACTATACGCACCAAAAAAACTAGCTTAATGAAGCAGTTTTGGTGTATAGTTCGTACCCCTGCAGTCTCACTGCTCAATTCTCTGCCGTTTAGGAGTTAAATAGCTGAAGTGGAAGTGGTCGTCGGAGTAACCCTTTTATTTCGTTTTCAATTTGGCTATTTTAGGCATACATTTTAAAATCACTTTGAATTCACTTTGAGTAGTTTAGAGATCACTGGTTTTGTGTAATATATATATTCCCCCTTTTAATGTTAAATACACTGCAAATTCTCGCAGCGGCAGCCATGCTTTGGCAAAGAATTTTGACATTTGGATTGACAAACTACAAGAAAAATAACTGAGATGATAGGCTTTGCATTACCAGCGATTTGAAGAATGCAATATTAAAGGGGGATCGGACAATGACAGAATCGGTTTCCACTGACGGAGATCTTTATTCTTAGGAAAACACTGTTTCCTATTTCACAGCCAGATAGACTAGGAAATCACAATACTGCATTGTGTATGAATGCTTACATTGTATACATGAACATGGCTAAAAGGACATTCTGTATACATATATGTATGCAAAATACATTATTCAACTGTCACACTGACAGGGTTATTTACCAACGTGAATTTCATATTTAACAAATAACAGAATTTGGAAGTCAGTTACGCTTCCAGTTCAACTATTTTGGACTAAAAACAGACATTTACACAAAAGAGTTAGCTCAATCATCTGCTTTTAAAAGTGGTCATGGTGGTAGAAATCTGTATGTGCCGTGTCTTAGCTTGAAAAGCTGCACATACTGAGGTATCTTCCCTTTTGTGTTGGTAGCTACTTGCACACACAGCACGTTACTTAGGTGAACAATAATATTAAGTGTTTATGGTGCTTGCTGTGTCCCTTTAACCCCCTAGAGACCAGTCTGTTTTTAAAATTTCTTACCGTTAAGGACCAGGGCTGTACCCACACATATTATATACCGTTTTTCTTGCAATTAGATTGTCTTTCTAAAGATACCATTATTTTCATCATGTGAAATAAGTTACTATAAAGTATAAAATATGATGAAACAATATAAAAAAAAAACACACCTTTTAGAACTTTGACCCCCAAAATCTGTTACGCATCTACAATCGCCAAAAAACACCCGTGCTATATAGTTTCTAAATTTTGTCCTGAGTTTAGAAATGCCCAATGTTAACATGTTCTTAGCTTTTTTTGGGGAAAGTTATAGGGCTATAAGTACAATTAGCACTTTGCTATTTCCAAACCATTTTTTTTTCCTTCAAAAATGAATGCAATTTACATTGTAACACTGATATTTGTCAGGAATCCCTGAATAACCCTTCACATGTATATACTTGTTAAAAGACAACCTAAGGTATTAAACTTGGGGTATTTTGACTCTTTTCATGCAACCATTTTACCACCAACCTATGCCAAATGTAAAAAATAAATAATAATTGGTTAATTTTTTTGTCACAAATAGCAATTTAAGAATACATGTACTGCGAACTTTAAGGGTTAAAATGTCACGCAGAACTATTTGTTTTTTTAATCTTAATTTCTCACTTTTTAAGATTTTATTCATATTATGTTTCACATATGAATAGTTCATGCGCAATTAAAGCCCTGTTTCTCCTTAACAAAATGATATATAATAAGTGTGGGTGCACTTTGATATAAAAAAGGTGAATTACGGTTTAACAGACATATAGCTCAAATTCCAGTTTTTGTTTACATTTTGTTTTGATCAGAACGTATACTATTGACTTCGTTCTTGAGGGATTAACCGCTGGCTACCCCATGCTTGAGAACCTCCAATCTAAAAGCAACAGCAATTTTAGGAGACCTTAGCCCTGGCACTCATTACATATAATTAGGAAATGTGTAGTATCTTTTTAAATGTAACACTTGTCCATTCTTAAAATATCAGGTTATTAAATTATACATAATGGGCTTCTTTCCTTTCTCTGGCAATTTGAAGTGTTAAATGGACAGTTCATGCAGATATCTAAGAAAACACTGTTCACCATTATTTGATTAGTAAGAATTTTAGTAGGCTAATGTAATCTTCTTATTTCGGGCTTAGTTATTTTTGCTGGCATGTTCTTGGTAAATTTATAAATCGCTAAAGTCCTCCATGTTTTGTATATGGGCATGAAATGCATTATGACAACATTTTTAAACTAGGGATCAGTAAGCTTTCCACTACACTCTTATCTCGTCTGCCTTGCCTTATCAGAGGGGTAATATAATTGAATTGCCTTCTATATCAAGCTTGTGTGTGCATAGGTGTGGTAAAAGATTTAATGCCACCATCGTAATCCTCCTCTTCCTCCTCCTCCTCTGTGCAGTGTAAGCATACCTTTACCTGTATTTGAGAAAGAGAAAATATATATATATATATATATATATATATGGTTTTTTTTTGGCAGAAAAGGCAGTGACTCACCTGTCATGGGACCTTCGGTGTAATACATTGCAGTAAGGGATTCCCCCTACCCTAAAGCAGCTCCAGGGCACTCAAACATTGCCCATGTTGTGAATCAAGGAGTCTCCTTTTGCCATGGTTACACTAATCTGTAGCTGGACATTTGCCAACCACTTTACTACATAGCTATGTACAGCTCATACATTCCATGCGAGTTTAAGGACAAACTCATCGTGTGCCTCTGATAACACATCGAGTACCCCGTTTCATTCCATCAGAAGCCTGCCACACCCCTTCCTAGATGGATACACTTGATGATTCTCAATTACGTTTTCATTGCATTTTACGCCCAAGTGAACTTCGCAGTTGGTGGTAGGGTGTGTGATGCCACAGTTGTTTTTAAAAAAAATTATTTACTGTATTTTACACCTACAGTTTATTCTCCCTTAACTTTCAAATGCTTTATTACTTTATGGTTTTCTATTTAAATCTCAATAATTATTTGGTTATTTACATCGCTATATAGGCTAAAAAAAACAAAAAAAAAACCTGCTTTCATCATGTTCAGCACAAATCTGTTTTTGGTGTTGATCCAAAAGAAGACCAAAAAAAAAACCTGTTTATTCCAAAATTGGAAAGTGATACCAACAACCAAATCCCTTCTCGACCCCAGGACAAAATGGCTGTCTCATCTCGATAAAGGAAGAAGCTGTTACTCCACATATTAAAAAGTATATCCCTGAATATATTTTTTTCCAATAATTCATTTAGTTGCTGTTTAAACATCTGTACGGACTCTTATAAAACCACATCTTTATTGTTCTTACTGTAAAGAACCCTTTCTTCCAGTCTAAATGGGTGACCTTGTGTCCTATGTATAGTCCTGTTTATGAATGGATTTCTAGACGAGAGTTTATTTGTATAATGCAATCATGTCCCCTCCGAGGCTCCTCCCTTCCCTTTTTAAATAAACATTAGAGGTGTAAATTTGTTAGTCTATCTTCGTAGCTAAAATCTTCCATTCCTCTTTTTAAATTTGTAGCCCACCTTTGCACTTTTCTAGTTCCATGATATTCTTCTTTAGAACAGGTGACCACACATTAAAGGTGTGGTCTTACCCGTGATTTATTAAGAAGCAAAATTCTATTTTCAGTTCAAGACATAATGCCCCCTTTTAATGCATGGCAATGCCTTACTGGTAGGTTCGAGTATAGCTTGTTTTTTTATTTATTTTTTTTGGATTGTTATGTTTTTTCCTTTTTCTTTTTGAGGGGGACAAAAGGGAAGGTGGATTATTACTGTATTACTAATGGCAAATGTAGTGTGTGTACTGACTTTTTTAATATAATCAATACATTGACCACAATCTTATGTTCTTTTCTTTGATAAAATATATTGCAGTTTTTGATTTCTAAATTAGTGTTTTCCCAACATGGAGGCAGGTCAGAGGAATGAAAATGCCTAAATGTGGCATCTGATTGGTTAGATCCCCTCTTGATACCAGCTGATATGAAAATGACATCCAAACAGTTAGAGGACAACTAGGCACAGTGCAGGTGAAGTTGCATTTTTAGTAGCCCATGCTGAATAGTTTATTTAATCTCTAGTGCTGAAGCAAACCTAATTTATTCAATTTGAAAAAAAGATAGTTTATGGCAATCCATCACCATGTATAATTTATTTAAGCTTTAATTGCATTCATTGTGCTTATGACATCCTTACTGAGACTCACGTCAATGTTTTCATGTTCTGGTTATGGCAATTCTCCAAATGGCAAGTGGTAGTGTCTGAGTCACATAAAGTCTAACACAACACAATAGTTCTGTTCTTATACCACTTTCGAAACGCCATGCATTTTTCCATCAAGTGGTAGTGATAAATATGATTTTTATAATTTTTTAACAAGCTTGTTAAATGGTACAGGATGTACTGTTACATCAGTATTATTGAACGTAAACAGGGTTTTGGAAAACGCAGGGTAAAGTTAGATGACACTCAAGCTTCGGCAATCAGTTTTGTTGCCAAGCAGACAGCGTTGCCTATTGCATCTCTGAATTTGGCATGATGCTTACTGTTACATTCATTGTCTAAAGAGTATATGGTAGAGACTTTAAAGTACTTATTGATGAGGCTGTTGTGCAAAATTTATTTTGTATGACTTTTGAAACGTTCTGGTCACCACAGTTGGTTTATTTAATAAAGCACTATGAAATCCCATAAACTTTTTTTTTTTTTTTCTGGTTGGTCTGAAAGTAGCCAAAACATGTTTCCCTTTAAAGCAGTGGTTCCCAACCCAGTCCTCATGTACCACCTAATAGTCCAGCATTTAGGGATTACCCTGTTGTGTTTAAGGTGTTTTTAGAAAAAGAAAAACAAAAAAAACACCACTTTAGACACAACAGGGTAATCCCTAAATCCTGGACTGGTAAGGGGGTACTTGAGGACTGGGCTGGGAACCACTGCTTTAAAGGATCGCTTTCGTGTTAGGAATACAAAGTGTCTATGAAACTGACATTTGTTTTCATTGCTGGGTTAAGGAAATAGGGACACTGCACCCAGATTACTTCAATGATATGTAATGGTCTAGACCAGGCTTCCCCAAACTCCGGTCCTCCAGATGTTGCTGAACTACAACTCCCATGATTCTATGAATGAAATAGGCTGAGAATCATGTGGCTTGTAGTTCAGCAACATCTGGAGGGCCAGAGTTTGGGGAATCCTGGTGTAGACTCTAGGGTGACTAGTCTTTTGCGGTTTGTTAATTGAACTGCACAACTAAGCCGTATAAACAAGTTGGGAAAAGAGCAGATTTGTGTAAAGCTCTTATTTCATCAAATTGTAAAAAAAAAAATTATCTTCTAAATCATCAATTTTTATAATGTTGAGCTTATTCAGATCAAAGTACTTATATTAAAAAAGTGCATAAGTCCTTTTGTTATTTTGAAATTATGGCAATTTAGTGTGGCTCTTTACTTTATTAGCACTCATTCTATGTTGTTGGTTTACAGATAAGCATAAGCAATGTCTTTAGAGTTATTCTCTTATTAGTTATACAGGTTGCTCTCTGCATCTCTTTACATGATGTGTTTTCACTTTGTATTTGTCCCCTGGGGCCAGTTTGCAGTGAGAGGTTGAAAGTCTCAGTGGTTAATTCTGTAGCCTAGGCTTCTGCTTCCTTCTCTGATTGCTTTGTTCTTTTGTATTGAGGTTTATTTGTGTTTTTCCCCCCTTCTTTTTCAAAAGGGCAGAGCTATATCCCCAGGGCTGTGGGGGATGTGAGGAATATAGGACATAAATACACGAAAATATATAATGTTTATGTTAAAGTGAGCAACCTGTGGCACTACAGCTGTGTGTTTGGTTCCAACCTCCATTTCCCTTCAGTCATCCTTTGAAGTCCAGCAGCAGCTTGGAGACGGTCCATCATTTACCTTCTTTGTATGATTCGTAACTGTAATATGAGGGAATATGGGTGGTACATTTTCAAGAGTAGGCAAACTTCGGCACTCCAGATGTTGTGGACATCATCTCCTGTAATGCTCTTACAGTAACAATATTGGCCAAGCATCAGGGGAGATGTAGTCACAACATCTGGAGTGCCGAAGGTTGCCTACCCTTGGCCTAGACCCTAGAGCACCTGCTTTGCAAAGACTTCTCATTGAGTTGCATCGGGTAGTCTGTGATTGGACAGCCACAGAGAGTCTGGGCTGAGAAAGAAGAGGATGGCCTGCAAAGGCTGTAGACAAGAGATGTTACAAAGTAAAGTAGGGGTGCAACATTTTGATTTAAAAAATTTGTAGTTAATAATATTTTCGTATTTCCTTTAATAAATGCCCCTTTCAGTGTGAGGGTGTTGAATGTATGTTTGGTGTTAACTGGGCCACAGTACAAATGCAGCAAGTGGACAGATAAAGGAATATACCTGTTATAATCTACAGACGTTAGGCCACAACTGTATCAAAGAATAGAATGAGCCCTTTAAAAAAAAAAAAAAAAAAGTAAAACAATAAATCATAGTAATCAATGGTTTTCCTTTTTTTTTTTTTTTACTTTCAGTCATATCTAACATTTATAATAGTTACTTATTTGACCGTTTTAAAATGTGAAATGTGGTCCTTTGAAATAAACGAACACCCAGTAATTCATTCTGTACTCCTGAAGCGTAGCATGTTGCTGTTGTAGTGTTACTGTTTTACCTTAATAATGTCAGTGTCTCAGCCAGCTGTTGCATGTCTCTTCCAGGGGTGTGTCTCAGAGACAGCTGGTTGTCTTGTACTATGCAGGCAGCATAAGTGATAGAACATAGCTACTTGTACAGGTTTCCAGCTCCACAATGCCAAACCAGCTGCTGTCTCTCTCTTCCGGTAGTGTGGGCAGCTTCTGCTCTGCTGGACAAATGTGAGTGCTCTGCAGTGCTTAGTGGATTGACAGACATGCTCGAAAGTCTTAGTTCTTTTTTTTCCCAAGCATTTGCTTATTTCCAAAACAATTCGACCAGAAAATCAATGAAGGGAAATCAACCTTGTTATCTGCTGAAGGTTGTGTGTCCGAGAGACTGTATTATTTTATTCATTGTTATTTTAGTAATATATAGCAATACTCAGAACAGATAACTGTCACCTTATTATATACTTTTAGTTACGCACCTTGGCTTTCAAGGGCCACTATATAGTCACCAGAACAACTACAGATTAATGTAGTTGTTCTGGTGTCTTATTGCCTGTCCCTGCAGCAATTTGCATGTAAACACTGCCTTTTCAGAGGCCGGGTTTTAAAATTAAAAGCAACTCAAAAATATTAATGTGATTAGTCTATTAATTGAGTATGTTAGTTAAAGCAGGGCTTGGCAAACTTGCTTTCTATCTAGGAGCCAGCTAAAAAAGTTAGGAGCCAGTTTTTCCCCCACCAGTTTATTGCTGTACTTGATTGTAATTTGTTTTATGCATTTATATGGGTCCCTGAGGAAGTTTTCAAGGGAGAAGGAAACGCGTTGGACAACCATATATTTTATATATTTGTTAAAAAAAATATATTTTTATACAATAAATATCAATTTTTACGGAAGATTTCTCTGGTTAATCGTTTGTGGTGACTAAAAGGACCAGTCCGGTGAGGAGTCCGAGAGAGGAACTTAAGCCCCCTACTACAATAGAGGCTGGCCCCTTTAAGGCTTTTAAAACAACTTTAATCTTGAGTGCAACCGAAAATTTGCATTATTTATTAGCCAATATTGCACTGTTATTACTTTTTCTATAGGTCCATCAGCAAGAACCCTACATTTTGTACATGTACACCATGACTACTTAGAATCAGTGACGTGATCATGTTGCTTGGGCCTAACGCTTTTTGCAATGTTAGGTGTATTACTGTAGAGGTGGAAATTACCTTGGCCGATAGATATTTTATATAAGTTGTTTAAACGGCTCGTATTTACTTTGAATTTGATAGGTTTAATCTTTTTTGAAATATATAGAAGAAAAAGATAATTTCAAACTATTCAAGGTATATATTGTTTATGGCTACCCATTATACCAGTGTGGATCTACATTGCCATATTGCTGAACCAGGCTATATTTAGGCTGCAACTGTAATTTCTGAGGTATGTATTTGGGCAGCATCACTGATACAGGGGAAGAATGTGCAAACATCTACACTGATTGGCCCTGAATATTTATGTAGTGTCACCATATTCTGTAGTGCTGTTAATGGTGTAATTCCTACATACTTATCACGATGAAGCTGTTCAATATCACATTGGTCATTGCTTTGCGGTAGACAAAAAGAGAACTGAAAATTGACCTTAAAGGGACACTATAGTGTCATTGAAGTAATTGGGATGCAGTGTCTCTGTCCCCCTTTGCCCTGCAATGTAAAACATGGCAGTTTTTAGCGGAATTGCAGCGCAAGACTGCCTCTAGTGGCTGTTTACCAAATATATACTAGAGACGGGTCCTGCTGTTTCACAGATTTTCACTCCGTGAAATGACTCCAGACATCCACTCCTCACACTTTGCATGAGGTTGTTCCATGTCTTTAACCCCTTAAGGACACATGACGTGTGACATGTCATGATTCCCTTTTATTCCAGAAGTTTGGTCCTTAAAGGGTTAAAATCCCCATAGAAAAATGAGTCAATGCTTAATGCTTTCCTGTGGGAAAGGCTTATGCACATAGCATTCGATCTCATGTGCATTAGGTTCCCTCGTTGGCCGACCACGGTGGAGGAGGAGCACATCCCAACGCCGAGGGACATCGGCACTGAAATCAGGTAAGTGTAAAAGATTTTTAACCTTTTATTTACGTGGTGAACATAGAGACACTATGTGGTAGGAATATAGTTTTGTTCCTGTAAAACGAACCTATTTTTCCAAAAATAACCATTGTTATTTCAGGGGACAATGTTATTTTCTGACCGACCCCCCCCCCCCGTTTTAAAATATGCAAAGTAAAATAAAGGTTACATCATTTCTAGAGGTGGATTTAAAGCTGCAATGTGTTAAATTTCATGACTGGTCCATGGCACCCAGCTCTTTTCATTGAGATGAAGTGGTCTGGCTGACTATAGTTCTTTTAACTTTGTAATCCGAAATGAACAGCTTTAGTTACATGCCCGAGGACACATTTATATAGGTTAGCAAATTGTCTGCTTGACCATTATTGCTAGCTGATTAAAGGAACAGTGATAGGCTTTCCTTAAATATGAGTTCTGCATTAACCCCTTAAGGACCAAACTTCTGGAATAAAAGGGAATCATGACATGTCACACGTCATGTGTCCTTAAAGGACCACTATAGGCACCCAGGCCACTTTAGCTGTCTGCTGTAAACATAGCAGTTTCTCATTGACAGCCGCTAGAGGCGCTTCTGCACTTCTCACTGTGATTTTCACAGTGAGAAGACGCCAGCATCCATAGGAAAGCATGGCATCATGCGCATTCAGCCGATGACATCAGAAGAGGGAGGAGAGTCCCCAGCGCCGAGGGAGCCCGGCGCTGGAGAAAGGTGAGTGTTTAACCCCCTTCCTCCCACTTCAGCCCAGCGGGAGTGGAACCCTGAGGGTGGGTGCACCCTCAGGGCACTATAGTGCCAGGAAAATGAGTTTGTTTTCCTGGCACTATAGTAGTCCTTTAAGGGGTTAATGGTTTCCTGATTTCATCTATAGGAGTACTCAAATGGCTTGCAAGTGTACGTATGTATGTATTACATTAATTTATTGTAAACCATATTAAATGAACCTAGTCATTGAGGGGGCCTGTCCTCCTCCATCGTCAGTCAAATTCAATATTATTTATAAAGGAACATTGGGGACCAGATACTGTGCATCTGCGGCAGGTACAACTTAAAAAAAAAAAACAACCTCAAAATAGAACAGGGAGTCAGAAGCCCTGAGCTACTTGATGGAATGTCATGAAAGGGTTAAAATACTAGCCATAAGTGGGATGGAAAAAAAATCAGAAACAGAAAGCTTTGCAACCAAATGAACCCATCCCACCCATTATTATTTTTTAAGTTTGCCCCACCAACTCAAACACAAAAGGATTACACATTAACCCATGCAATTCTGGACCTGAACAATGTTTGCCTGTCTCCTCTCTACTGCACTACTATGCTAGTAGACAACCCATCATGTAATCACAAAAGTACAGTGATGAGGGCTGCAACTCTTTACTCCTTAATGCTTGTGGCCCCGGGGGCAAATTATACCCCTTGGAAACTCTACCCTGGTTTCTCTCTTTGACTATTTGTAAAATATGTTTTGGGGGGCAGGAGGGCTTGTTTGTTTTTGTTCTTTAATGACGATTCTGCTATACTTTCCCCCAGTGAACAGGCCAGCTCTTACACACACCATCTGGTGTTACAAGCCTCTGCATGTAACTTGACTCCAGACCTCGATGTCTGACTCCACCTGTCTCCACCCTTTCAAATTCCTTTGCCATGCCATCTCCTCATTCTTGCAAGTGGGTACAGAGAGAGCTAGTGTATGCCACGCAGCTAGCTACCTCCCTTTCATTTCGGTCATGATAGTTGGCCCTGTCTTGCCGTCGTTCAGTGCTTTAGATGGGAAAGGGCACATGATCAGCACACCATTTCGGGACAAAGCCACAAGGCGCAATGTGATCTTCCGCTCAGGTACTGTTGTGGGCACTGGGTCGTCTGTGATAGCTATGGCAGCAAGGCATAACAAATAACAGTAAATTGTATTTTATGTAGTTTGACAAAAGACTGCACCGTGGAAGCTCTACTTTATAGAGACATTGCATGCATTAATTTTGTAAAATCATTTTTTTGTTTTAACCCTTCCCTGATGCACATCCTTTATCTTCATACCTTTGGCCCATTTAGTCTGCCCAATTCTCTAAATACTTTCATTAGTCCCTGGCCTTATCTTATGTCTTCTTCTGCATATCCTGCATGTTTAAACTCCCTCACTGTGTTAACCTCTACCACTTTAGCTGGAAGGCTATTCCATGAGTCTACTACCCTCTCAGTAAAGTATTACTTCCTGGTATTATTTTTAAACCTTTGCCCCTCTAATTTAAGATTATGTCCTCTTGTTGTGGTAGTTTTTCTTCTTTTAAGTATACTCCCCTGTTGATTCACTTTTTTATATTTAAATGTTTCATATCCCCCGTGTCTCGTCTTTCCTCCAAGCTATACATGTTACGATCCTTTAACCTTTCCTGGTAAGTTTTATCCTGCAATCCATTAACCAGTTCAGTAGCCCTTCTCTGAACTCTCTCTAAGGTATCAATATCCTTCTGGAGATACGGTCTCCAGTACTGTGTACAATACTCCAAGTGAGGTCTCACCAGTGTTCTCTACAATGCCAGCTTTATCCTGTGTGGATGCACGTTTGATTCCTAATGTGGCATGATTAAGTGATATTCCAAAGATTTTCTGAAAGTAAGCAAATCTACGGTGAACCTGTCTAGGTAGCTTTCATTGTGTTTGCCAGTTATACCAGAACCTGTCTGTATTTGTACCATTGTGTTTTAAAATGTTATGTAATTGTCACTTTGCTGTGCGATAAGTTGCTTTGTGTGCGTATGTGTGTAGATAAAATATACTTTACTAATAAAATGCAGAAGTTGTTTTACCTCCCAGTACAAATATGTGCATCAGTCTTCATTTAATGTCCGTTATTTACTAAAGTGAAAAAAAAAAAGCAACAAATTACAAATATTCAAAGTGAAATTTATTCACATTCATATTTAAAAAAAATAAAAAAAAACTCAAATCCCCCCCCAATTTGCTTGCCTCGTTGCATTTAAAACATCTTGCCACAAGATATTTACATTACAATACACGTACCTAACTTCTTGAAATTGTCCACTATTTTTACATAATCAAACCTAAACCCCTCTCTCCGCCATTTCCCTGGAAACTTTAAATTTGCTTTTAGTGTTTTAATGGTTTGAGCTTTATAGAATACTCAGACACATATGGAGATTACAGTATCACAGTCAGACTTCAACAGAAATGCTATAATATCCACAGTTTTCTGAACATACAGACCTGGCACTTTTTGTGCTAAAAGAAACGCCTTGCATTGATATGTCCCTAATTTGTATTTGCTTTTGTTGTCTTGAATTGTTATTGATTGCTAATCTTTTTGCAAAATAAATATTAGAAAAACACTGTTGCCATGAAAAGTGCTTAACGTGTATATTTTAATACCTATATCTCTGGTTGTTTTCTTGTGTGCATTATTATGACAATTGATTATCGTTTGTTAATAGAGAACGCCAAGGTTGTTTGCTTTCCAGAATGCTGACTGACAAGGGGTTGTCTGGCTTGTGAAAATGAACGTCTTGATTATTTTGGAAGATGATACGGGCCTTGTCTGTTTTTAGCTCACGACATGGGTGATGTAATTTGGGAGAAAATAAGAACAGTGTATGGAGCCTGGAAATCTGGTGTCTTGTTTTCTAACTTTCCTAGTAGTTTATTTTTGTCTCTTGTGTCTGACACCCCGGCTCCAGCACTGTCTGCCTATTCTCACGCAGCATTGCTTCCCCATTTAGCTTCCTGAATGCTGGATTAGAGGATTTTGGGGATTGCTTAAATTAGTGGCATCCACTCAGAGCCAGGAGACCTGGTGTCCCTCAAGCCTGGCTTCCCACCACATGATTTCCCCACATCACAAATTCTGTTGTGTAGGTTGTTGTTTGTGGTCATGTTCTACAATGAATATCTCGAAAAGTTATGGAATTTACATTAGTCACAATATTTAACTGATGAATGACAGTGTTTTTTAATCCCTTTGGGTTGAGACCCAAATCTGTATTCCTATGCTATTTTTGGTGGGTCTGTGTTGGTTGGAGCATACACATCCTATTATCAGGCTTTTGGTAACTGCCAACTATAAATTGTTTATTGTACCATCACACGCTTCCCCAGTTCACTGGAGACCCTTGTGACACTGTGAAGACCATGTTTTAAAGAATGTATTTTAGTATTTATTGCCCTTGTAGAATGAGTCACTGAGCTAATTTTAGAATTGAAGAATTGCTCCCTAAGCTAAATGTCTTGTATGTAAAGTGCCTGTTAAAAAGCATCATGCAATGCTTGCAATACGCATTCACAATACTGCCTTTGGAACAGATACTTAATTTAAACCTTGTGTGCCAGCAGTGAGAATCTTCTTTGCCCATCCGTTTGTTATGGAAACTATTAGCAACCATCAGGTTTTAATCTTTTCTTTAGCTATAGAGACCAATATATCTTTTGTTGTTACTAAATGTTTTGAGAGTTGTTAAATAAAATTCAATAAAAGCTGTTTATTGAATGCCAAAATATTTAAAGTGAGTTTGGGGTTTCTGCAGAAGTGGGACACTGTTGCATTCTTACCTGCAAAACACTAATTGATAATCTAAGCTGTTTACACTAATATTAAAACTTCCTCTATGCTAATCCTGACTATCTCACAAAGAGGGTTGCTAAGCATAGGGCATTGCCAAGTTAATTGCACATCCTTTGAAGCACATTGTTGGCCACAGTGATTAGTTAGCTCATGGGAAGACCTTGCTGACTGAGCATGATGTAAGTTGCTGTCCATAGACTTTACAGTGCCAAGTGTGAATAGATATTATAGTATTTGTATGAACTAACAATGTCTACCTTTTTCTCCACAGAAGCCTTGCACCGTCCTTATGGCAGTGACTCGGAACCACAGACCCTTAATGATGCTATCCGTTGGAGTTCCAAGGAGAACCTGCTTGGGGCCACAGAGAGCGACCCAAATCTTTTCCTCGCTCTGTATGACTTTGTAGCCAGTGGAGACAATACCCTTAGCATCACCAAAGGTTTGTGGATGATAAAGTATTATTGTTTCAGACATCCATACTCATCAGGTTATTTTCAAAACCAGAAAATCTATATCTTAATGTGAGCATTCTTTTGACTGAAAATAGGATATCTCTAACTAAAGCAGTTTTATTTATTTTTTTAATATTAAACTGTTCTATATATATATATATATATATATATATATATATATATATATATATATATATATATATATATATATATATAGCTTTTCTGTCTCTTAAAGGAACACTCCAGAGACCTATAGTGTTAGGAATGGAGGTGCTGCTCTTCACTTATTGTCTGATATCTCTGGAGCCATTGAATAAACTATTTAACTGGCTCAGAGCACATGAGCACATATGCGCAGGAGAGGGGTTACTAAAAAAAAAATATATATATATATATATTATATATAACAAAGGTTATATGGGAGGAAGGGTGAGCTTAAATTAGGCGGCCACTCTGAGCTGTTAAGGGATGGGAGTAAAAAAAAAAACACTCTTGGAGAAGCTAATTACATCTGTCCGATTGCTGTGTGTGCTCATGACAGAAGTCACTTTTGCACAAAATTGACATGAGGCAGCCCGAGCTGCCAAAGTCACATTTGGAGTGTTTCAAGCTAAAAAGCCCAAGACGACTTTGCGGTTGGAGTAACCATTTAAGAGGAGACGGCACCATGACCTCCTGACACCGCCATTTCATTGAGAGATGACGTTATGGTGCCTTGAGTGTTCTTTTAAATCAGTCTCTTTGTATATAACACATTTTGTAACTTTAAATGTGCTTAATTCGGCTTTTCCAATGCATTATCTTTTAGGAGAGAAGCTGCGTGTGCTCTGCTATAACCAGAATGGGGAATGGTGTGAAGTTCTTTCTAAGAATGGACAAGGTTGGGTGCCCAGTAATTATATCACACCTGTAAACAGTCTTGAGAAACATTCGTGGTATCATGGACCAGTGTCTCGCAGCGCTGCAGAGTATCTCCTTAGCAGCCTCATCAATGGCAGTTTCTTGGTGCGTGAGAGCGAGAGTAGCCCAGGCCAGCTCTCCATCTCCTTGCGTTACGAGGGCCGTGTCTACCATTACCGCATCAATACATCATCGGATGGCAAGGTGAACAGGGTGGTGTATTTGTTACAGTGGAATATATGAGTCTCTTCTCGTGTCTTAAATAAAATAAAATGAATATATGCATAAAAGTATTAAAATCCCACTAGTTGTTTTAAGCAACATACCAAATTTTCAAATTTCATTTTGTTTAAAGGTGGCAATATAAGCACCCAGACTCATCTCATTTAAGTAGTCTGGGTGCAATATCTCTGTCCCACTTAGTCCTGCAATGTGAAACATTAAAGTTTTTGAGAAACTGTAATGATTACTTTGCAGGACTAAGATTGCCTCTAGTGGCTGTCAATCAGACAGCCTCTAGAGACACTTCTGGGATTCTAATGGACTGTGAGTCCCTTAAATGACGCTGGACGCCCTCGCACTCTGCATGGGGACAGCCAGGAATGGAAATGCTTTCCTATGAGGAGGGCATAATGCGCTTGGGTAAGTGACTAAAAGATTTTTTTATTTTTATATTTTAATATAAAATACAGATTTGTATTCCTTTCACTCTAGATTCCCTTGAACTGTTTGGTAAATGTACCCTCAAAGAAAACAGGCATGTTTGTCTTTTACTTTTTGTGTATATCGAAAAAAGAGCTTGCTGTCTGCAATCTTTGCAAGTACTCCCCTTTATTCCCATTACAAACTGGAATTGACCAATCAGAGGCTGCGCATTGAGAAACCACTGCTCGGGAAGAGCAGGAAGACAGGTGTGCTTTAGCCCAGCACAGCTGCCACTTTTGTTAGCTCTCTGGATCTTACGAAAGAGGAAGAAAACTAGGTTCCTGGAGTCTGTCAATTTTTTTAAAGTTTATAAAAGGGGCAATTTTAATAGGCCAAAATGCCTACCCAGCTGTCTCCTATTGAAGTTGCCACTTTTATAAACTTTCAAAGAATTGACAGACTCTTAAGAACCTAAAGCACTTTACCAAGCCAAATTGCCTTTGTGTCCAGGGTGTTTCTTTAAGACCGTTACACACAAACACATAGCCTTTTAAACATATACCTATAATTAGGTAATTTACTATAAGTGATAGCTCCCAGACAGTCTTCTGGTCATACAGATATGTAGATCATAGTGTTGCAGAGGAAGGAGGCTTATGGAAAAGAGAGAACTTTATTGCTAGTATTGTTTTACTATACTAAAATGTGGATGTATTTGATATATTTTGTGCTGATAAATTATCCTCCAACACCCAGGTCTATGTCACCGCAGAAAGCCGTTTCAACACACTTGCTGAGCTTGTTCACCATCACTCCACAGTGGCTGATGGGCTTGTCACTATCCTACACTACCCAGCACCCAAATGCAACAAACCTACAGTTTATGGAGTCTCTCCCATTCATGACAAGTGGGAAATGGAACGCACAGATATCACCATGAAGCACAAGTTAGGAGGAGGACAATATGGAGAAGTGTATGTTGGGGTCTGGAAGAAATACAATCTCACCGTAGCTGTAAAAACACTAAAGGTAAGAGATACACTTACTGTCACTTTACATTATGCAAATAGTCATTCTCCATGTGGTATTCATTCTCTTTCAGTGCCTCATAGCATTGTCTGCTTTTTTCCCTCCTCCTTCTGGAACATGTGTTGTCCTCTTCTAACACGTTACCATCCATTGTCCAATATCTTTTTTTAGTAATCCCCCCTTCCACCACCACCCCAATAAGGTTTGGGCATAGTTTTTCATAGCATTCTTGGCGTGGTATTTCATAAAGCGGTTTAGGCGTGCTGCATTGAAGGTACTGTCTTTAATTGTCCATTAATTTGTTCAAATATTTAATTAAAGATCTTCCCTTTTATTTTTTTGCTAATACTGTCATGTGATGTGGCCTAAATGGACTAGTCTTTTCAATTAATATATTGTTTACACATTCTTAAACTACTAATATTTGGTGTCTGACTTAACTTGTTTTATATATCACAGAAAATATCTGGTGGGCAGTTTCTGGACTGTACATCGCCTGTCATAGCTAAACTTTGACATTGAAACAGGTGTGGAGTTATTCCTTGTGATGCAGTTGGAGCTTTTGATAAAGTAAATGAGAATCTGAGTGACGTAGTTTAGTTTTGTAGCGGTCTGCCTTTTTGTATTTTGATTCTTAGCTTACTTCTGTTTGCCTGTACAAGAATGAGGAGACAAATCTCTGTTCATTGGGAGGCTAGTGACCAGGGAGTTGCAGTAATTGAAGCAGAACATGTCATATGAGCCTTTTAATCATTTGGGTCTTGGGTGAGTAGAGAGCTGTTTGAGATGAAGGTGGTGTATAGCAAGTGGCTAAGTATAAGGAAAGAGGAATGGTCAAGGCAGTGAGCTAGGAGATATGTCAGTATTGGCTGCGATGTGGGATCGACTTTTGAGACGTATAATGGACTGGAGAACAGCAAAAGATCTGTTTACAACAGGGGTGCCCAAATGGTATGTTATAGAACTACAGCTCCCGTGATACTTTGCATGCCTTTAGAATGGCAAAGCATCATGGAAGCTGTATTTTTAAACACATCTGGGGATCTACCTTTTAGGCACCCCTGGTTTAGATAGATCTAATCTGAAAAGCAGTAGGACACAACTAGCTTGAGATTGCTATCACATGGGAAACTCCACTATATGTTGGTGCCATGTGTTTAATTGGCATGTGCTGGCAACTAATGAATTTAATAAACTTACATTAAAAGGCTTTAATATGCAGAATTGCAAGGAAACCCAGACTGTGACTTTCAATACACCAAGTGGTAAAGTTGTATGCTTCTTGCTCTACAGGAGGATACTATGGAGGTGGAGGAGTTCCTCAAGGAGGCAGCAGTAATGAAAGAAATCAAACACCCCAACTTGGTGCAACTCCTTGGTAAGTTGGCACTAAATTAGACGTATTGATTCTGTGATTCCCTAGACTGAAAAGTTGTGGTTTTTGTGGTTTTTTTGTAATTTTTTATATATATATGAATTATTTTTGCAACTTCTCTTGCTATTAGGTGTCTGCACTCTGGAGCCCCCTTTTTACATTGTAACAGAATACATGAACTTTGGAAATTTGCTTGACTATCTACGGGAGTGTAACCGTGAAGATGTAACTGCGGTGGTGCTGCTTTACATGGCCACGCAGATATCTTCTGCCATGGAATATCTAGAAAGGAAAAACTTCATTCACCGGTGAGCAATACAAGCTTTGTTTTGTGCAGCTGATATTACTATGTTAGGCATACTAAACAGTGAATTGAAGCAACATTTAAGCCAAGATAATCATGTAGGAAAATATATTGGTAATTTTTTCAACTGTTATTCTCGTGTACATATTGCAAATTCTGGTTAATGTTGCCTAGGCCAGTCTGAATCATATCTCTGGCCACAATTGTGGCTGCATGGCGACATTTCTTACCAAGGCAGAGTTTTGAGCTGGCTGTTGGAAATTGCTTTTAAAACTTTTTTAAGCTTTGTGATCCGAGTATTGAACATGGGCTTCTAATTTGTGTAAACACTGCTCAGGAGATTTGCAGTGTTCCTTTATTTGCTTATCTTTAATATCCCTAAATTGCTTTTAAGTTCTAATTGACCTCATCTGACTTTTAGTTTATCTTCATCTCGTTTATTTAGTGATCTGGCTGCTAGGAACTGCTTGGTAGGAGAAAATCATGTGGTAAAAGTAGCCGATTTTGGACTGAGTCGCCTTATGACTGGAGACACCTACACAGCTCATGCAGGAGCCAAGTTCCCCATCAAGTGGACTGCTCCAGAGAGCCTTGCATACAACACCTTCTCCATCAAGTCTGATGTCTGGGGTAAGAACTAAGTACAGGAAGCACAAGAAATATGTAAACTCACCAATATGTTAACTAAATTCATCAGCATTTGACATTAAAATTGATGTAGACTCTTGTTCAAATACATAGGATTGGTTTATGTTAAAATTGCAGTACATCACATTGTGAAGCTTAGCATGTGTAACGAATAGACATATGCCAACGAACAGGAAGAATAAATTGAGGCAGTGAGTATAGTTTCCCACCCATAGTGTCTTCATATCAAAGAGTTATTACTATAAATACTATTAGGCACAGTGGACGGCCAGTGATAAACGAAAGCACCAGCTGACACACTCAACCTATCTCTTTCACTCTCTGCTTCTTTTCCTGCTGACCTATGACAGCCAAAGCAGATGACTATGTGGAACAGTGTCTGGGCTCAAAATTTGGTGTTAAAATGTTAGAAAACTATTTAAACCCTTAATGTAATATGGTGCCATGGAGCCCCCAAAAACAATTGAATTGAGGCCAAGTTATATTGGGGATTAAGTGTTCCATTAAGGTACAGCCTGCTGTAGTGGTTATGGTACCCTGGCGCTGTCCCAGTATAATCTGTTAACCTTTTTAGCTCTTTTTGATACTACCTGGGAGTGGCGCTGGTTTACTAGATGCTGATGTAGGTGTTCATTCACTGGGTGAGAGCATAAACTGAGCACTCTCACCCATTGAATGAGAACCTGTCTTGAACTGATATCCAGAGCCTTGTGCCTGAGAAGAACTGAAACAGCCTAGGCTCTCAGTGAGACTCAGGTAAGTGTCAAGCCGTACTAATGCAGTCTGGAGATTACATTGGGATCGTGCAAGGACACTTCCTGCACCATAACCATTATAGTAGTGTTGTGGTTGTGGAGCTTGGCATGTTTCTTTAAGTAAATGTTTATGAATTGGTGTAGTCGAACGCGGTCGCACTCTGGAATACTTCATGTATCATCTGAGTCACGAGTTGTCCAGTTCTAGTGTCACTTGCTCACTATTTATAGTAACATTGTAAATAAATTGTCTATTCACTCTAACCCCCACCCCAATATCATGCTTTGTGTGAATAATTCATTCTTTTTTTTTTATTAAATGCAGCTTTTGGTGTGTTGTTGTGGGAAATTGCAACCTACGGCATGTCCCCTTACCCTGGCATCGACTTGTCACAAGTATATGACTTGTTGGAGAAAGGCTATCGTATGGAGCAGCCGGAGGGATGTCCTCCAAAAGTCTATGAACTGATGAGAGCTTGTAAGTCACCATACCTTTTGCCGCTTCATATGCAGTTGCTTTTAGAGAAGATAACATCACCTTACATTTCAGCTACTTCATACTGGTTTCTCTCAGTTTACTTTTCTTTTTCTTTTCTTTTTTTATAAAGCCTTAGTACATATTTCTTCTTGTCCTCTGTGTATAATTGACTTTGTATTTCCAGGCTGGCAGTGGAACCCAGCAGACAGACCATCATTCAAAGAGACACACCAAGCTTTTGAGACCATGTTCCATGATTCAAACATAAATGAGGGTAAGGGTATGGGGAAAACATTGAGCAAGATTGTCTACTCAAAAATAAGAATTTGTAAATGTATTATCAAAGTGTATCAAAGACCACATATTTCTGGATTTTTACCTATTGAATATCCTGGTCATGTTATAAAGAAGAACAAGATTGTCAGAAGGGTAGAGTGTAAAAGCATGGTTAATGCAAAATCTCATACACAATGGTTGCTGTATAGTATTAATGTGTAGAGTAGGAGAAAAATCTATTTAAAATGGGTTTTTCTTCCAGCTGTCAGTCAATGCCTCGTTGTCCCGAGGCATTGACTAAAAAAGGAGAGCAGAAATTACCTCACCACAGGAGGTCTCTCTGCTCTTCTCCCATGTCAACCATCATGCATGTGCTGGTGTTCCTAGAAAATCCCTAGCTGGTGCTTCTAGTGCTGGCTAGGGAGCATAGGAACAGAGTATCGTGACATGATTTTGTTATGATGCCGACGTCACTGAAAAGATTTGCCCTGCTTGGGAATGCACCCCAAGCAGGTCAAATCAAAGAAGACTTCTGGAGAAGCGTGGGATGACCAGGAGGTGTGTGTTATACAAAGAGTAACCCTCACAAGGCAAGCAGGAACAAAGGAAAAGTGAGTAAATCTTCATATCTTACATTGAATACACGATGTATCTTTTGATATATATCTTGCTCAGAAATGCTTCAGACTTGAGAAAGGGAGGTTCTCCCGAAAGCTTGTCATTAAAACATTCTGTTAGTCCAATAAAAAAAGGTATTACAAGATACACATATTCTGTTTTTTACATATATATATATATATATATATATATATTTGTATTAAATGTATATGAGAACCATTTCCGGTAAGTAAATTTTTTCATAACAGGTTCTCTTTAAGGACTGAACAGGGTAAATAGGCATTGTCATTTTAAGTAATTATACACTCCAGCTCCATAGCGGATTCATCTCAATGAAGTTAAGTGGCCTGGAGTTCCTGGATATCGTCTTGCCTTTTCAGTAACTGTTTCACACTAAAGTTCGGTCACACTGCTTTCTTTCTCCTTGGCCACACGACTAATAGGATAGTTTAGTCATGAGAGCAAGCGATAGGCTGAGAGAGGTATCTGATGATCTCCACTTATCAATGGCTGCAAACTGTTTCAAGTAGCTAAGTACTATCAGAACAGTGGGCTGCCAGTGGAGTCCCGAGAGCCACAGCTGACACACTCCTATCACTGGCTGGGGTGTATTTACCCCAAGGCAAACAAGGCATTTGCCTTGGGCGGCACTTTCTGGGGGGCTTCAAAAAAAAGCCCTCCAATCGTCCTGGCAGCCACTCAGGGCCCCCAGGCTGGCAGCGGCGGCACTCTCCGGGAGGTGAGGGAGCACTAATCCTCCTGTTCAGCTCCCTTGCGCGCTGCGTAGTGATGCCAGAGACGGAATATGACGTCATTCTGGCTCCGGCATCACTACGCAGCACGCGAGGGACCTGAACAGGAGGATCAGTGCTCCCTCGCTGACTGCAGCCACCAGCCCGCCGCCCAGCAGCCCCATGGGACCCCAGGGAAAGTGTTAATCCACCCAAGCATTTCCAAAAGTAGAGAGGCTGGGGGGGATTGAATTTTAAAAAGAAAGGTAGGTAGTGTTACTATGTGTGTCTGTTAGTTTGCGTGTCTGCGTGTATGTCAGTGAAAGTGTGTGTCTGAGATGGAGTGTATATGAGTCTGTCAGTGAGTGTGTATGTGTATTTAGAAGACTGGGCGTCTGAGTTTTGTCATGCCTAGGGCAGCACAAAACCAGGATACACCACTGATCACTGGCCTCCACAGCCAATGTTTCTGTAGTAGCCAGTTGGCCGGGGAGAGATTTGGAGATATGAAGGGTGTGAAACTTTTCAAAAATAATTTAACGCTGTAAGTTTAGACTGCACTCAGAGAACTGAGCATTGTGATAATATTGTCATGGAGCTGGAGCAGCACTTTATATATATATATATATATATATATGTATGTTCGTTCTTTTGAATATTCTGCTCCTCTAGATTCTCAGTTATAACTGACTTATTGCTTATGTCTAAAATTGATCTATAGACAAACTGGATTATTCACTAAACTAAATTGTTGTGAATTAACCGTGGAATTGCTCATTTAAGTCAAAACAACTGGGTTAGAAAATGTCAGAAAATCTAATTTGTGGCTAAAATTTTAACAAATTATTGTTTAGTTACTAACTTTTAATACACTCATGCAGTAATTGATTTAGGAAGCATGACTTATAAGTTACTTTTCATAAAAGGCCTTCTTTGTGTTTTTCCAAAATTAAAGAAAAGATCATTGTAGATTTAAATATATATGTAATAGAATAGGGCCTTTTTTTTTTGTCCTGGTTTCAATAATGCTCTTATCTCTAAGACAGATTGTTTATTTACTGATCCTGTCACTCTGTTCACAGAGGTAGCAGAGGAACTGGGACGCACAGCTGCTTCCTCCTCAAATGTGCAGTATCAGACCCGCCTTCCCATGCTGCCTTCTAAATCCCGCACTTTGAAGAAGAAAGCAGAGAACAAGGAGAACATTGAAGGCACAGGGGATTCCTCTGATAACTCCACCTCAAGTTCTACACAAGGTAACAGTTGGTTTGATGATTTTGGTATTTGCAAGACCTAAAGGAGCACACCACACGCATAAAGCACTTCAGTTTGATGCAGTCTGTCATATTTGACAGTTTGTAAAAATCTGCACTTTTATAACTAAGAGCAGCTATCATTCAGAGGTTTTCTGCTTCCGTGAGCTCTAGAGAGTTAACATGAATGGCAAGGCGCAGGGCCACAGTGCGCCTTTTTTCCTACCTCCTCAATGAGCTGTATTTCAGCTCATTAAGGAGAATAGCATAGCTGAAATTGGATGAGCGGTTCAAGTACAGAGGTATCTCAATGAGAAACCTCTGATTGGTGTATTCCCTGGCACAGACTGAAAATCTGTACTGGGGAAAGTTGGGAGTGCTACAAAGGGTGTACACAACAGCGTGTTAGTTTTTGTTTGCTATTTTTTTTTTTTTATATAGCCTCAAAGAAAACCTGCTGAAAATAATGCATGCATGTGCCTTTTTTGCAATAGTATATAGGGAAAACACTAAACTAGTGGTTCCCAAACAAGTCCTCAAAGCAACCCCTACCAGTCCAGGATTTAGGGATTACCCAGTTTAGAAAAAGAAAAAACAAAACACCTTACAAACTACTGGGTAATCCTTAAATCCTGGACTGGTAGGGGGGTGCCTTGAGGACTTGTTTGAGAACCACTGCACTAAGCAAAGGCTTTAGTTAATATTATGGCTTTAAAAACTGCTTCTTTTTTCATTTTAACAAAATATATATATATAAATATAAAAAAAATAATAATAAACAACCTTATAAAGGCAACCAGTTGGTGCCGAAACGTTGGGGGAGTTGGTGACGTGTGTTTCTGCCTTGAGGCTTGAAAGATTTTGGTATTGTACTTTTGAATTACTGTTTGCCTCTATTTCTCTTATTTTGTTTATTATAATTTTTTGTTGTTAAATATTGTGATTTATTTACTTGAATTTTTGAATTTGACCATTGTGGTTGTTATAGTGTGCATTCTGAATTATATATGGATCTTGATATTTAAGCACTTAAGGGAGTGTTTATATGCACCTGGCTTTTGTGAATATTTTGTCTCTCCATTGGATTTTGGTTTAAACACTTTATATTTTACCATTTTAGGAGCATCTCGTGGATCTCCTGTTGCCAGCGGTTCCCCTGCTCTACCCCGTAAACAAAGGGATAAATCACCCAGCAGCTTATTGGGTGACACCAAGGAGACAACATTTACGCGTGACCGTAAAGGTGGTTTCTTCAGTTCATTCATGAAGAAAAAGAGTGCTCCTCAACCTCCTAAGCGCAGTAGCTCCTTCCGCGAGATGGAAAACCAGCCCCACAAAAGGCCTGAACTGACAGAAGAGCTTTCTTCTTTTCAGCAGCTTGACAGTTTAGTTTCCCCTGCTTCTCCTGGCTCCAACAAGTGTTACAGAGGCCTATCTCAGCGTAGCTTTTCAGGAGAAGAATCCGTAGGAGCTGTCAGTGGGGGTTGGACTGGCATATCTGGTTTCTTCACACCACGTCTCATCAAGAAAACATTTGGACTGCGAACAGGAAAATCTGGGGTCAGCGAAGAGCAACCCAAACCTTTTCCTAGGTCTAATTCTACATCTTCTATGACTCCTGTTGTACCAGAGCAGGATAGAATGTCTATGACACTGCCCAGAAACTGCCACCGGACTAAGGTCCAAGTGGACCGTGCTACGTCTGTTTCATCACAGCCAGATGAAAACCAGCAGGATCTCTCTAGGACTGCAATAGAGGCCGTGCTGCCTCAGTCATCTAGGGACAGAGTAAAGCCTAAGATGCTTCCACGTACTGGAGGTAGTGAGAGAAATGGTGGACTTCGAACCACTGTTGATGAGAGGTCCTCGCCAAACAAACATATACCAGGTGCTACATCATCCTTCCCTTCTGCAGCACACAACCATAAAGTGCCCGTCCTCATTTCCCCCTCGCCAAGGAATGCATCTGCAGAGGTGCAGCTGGTTGGCATGGACTCCCTGGGTCACACCTTCAAACTGCTTCAGGAACATGCACCAGCAGGTTCAGAGAGGGACAAACCTTCTCACAGACGACTCAAGCCAAAGTGTGCCCCACCCCCTCCACCAAATCTGCGGCTTCTTCCTCCCCCATCTGCTGAGGATACAAGCGCATCTGCACCAACATCACATGGCCCTGAAAGGACAGCCAAACCATCTCGGCCTTTTCTACCCCCTCCACCCCCTGTTGTTCAAACGGGAAAACTATCAAATGGAGCAGCTGGAGGTGGTAGGGGGGCCCTGAGAAAGTCTAAGCAACCAGCTGAAAGGGTTCCTGCAGAGAAAATCAGCAAAGAGGCCCTTCTGCAATGTGCTGGATTGTTATCCAATGCCCTCTCAGTACCCCAACCTAACAGTCAGCTTGTGGACACTGGCCATCAGCTTCTAGATTATTGCACAGGATATGTGGACTCTATCCCTCAGACACGAAACAAATTTGCCTTCCGGGAGGCGGTCAGTAGGCTGGAGGTCAGCTTGCAAGAGCTGCAAGTGTCTTCAGCTGGGAGTGGGACGGGAAGTGCCGCTGCTGGTTCCCAGGGTGCTAACCCTGTGCTCAATCACTTATTGTCCTGTGTGCAGGAGATCAGCGACGTAGTGCAGAGGTAGCTAACGAGTGTCCTGCTGAAATACTTGGGAGGCATGTATCTTTATTTATCCCCCACAGACACACCCACACTACGAAATGCACTGACATGAGTATGGCTGGGGATAGTAACCTCTGTATAAGGAATGCCAATAAAAGGGGTTTTAGCCTCTGGTTGCTGATAGAGTAATTATTTGCTGTGAAATGTAGCCAAATAATGCTATCCAGCGGCAATCTAGTTCTAATGCTGACACCTGATTAATGTTTGGTTATGTGCATTTTATATGTAAATGTATATGTATTATGCACATATATTCAATTTTATTTTATAGATTATATAAATATATATATATATATATCTGTTTTTTTTTGTTTTTTGTTTTTTTTTTCATCTCAGGTTGATTTTTTTAAAATTTTATTTTAAAGTGGAGGTTTTTCCTCTCTCCTGTTTGGGTCCAAAACTGACACGATTTAAGCTGGATCACACCTTTTTTCTATCTATTAGAAACTGGGGTTTGGATGGTGGTTTAAAAAAAGCACTGTCGTTGTGTATTTTTGGGTGGGTAGCTAGTGTCCTGTTTGGGAATGGGCACAAGTAGAAATAAAAAAAAAATATATATATAAATAAAAACAAAAGCCAGAATAACAAAACTGGAATAGGTATGCCTCGTGGGGACGCCACTGCAGTTCCTGAGAGATTATTGGACTAAGAATCTTGCAGAAAAATATGAGAGTTGAAGTCCTAACAAGAGCACTGCAGTTGAGTTCCCATGAGATTCACACCATTGGTGTTAAAAGTGGAGGTTGGAGGCGTGTGCTGAAATAACTGGGTGGTTGCAGTCCTGAAGAGGAGGAACTGGACATCAGTATTGTAGAAATATTGAGTATGTTTTTTTTTTTTGTATTTATACCTCATGTAATCCCTTTGTCAGAGGGGCCCGTGACCCACTGCTCTGCTGTACATCCTGCAATATATGCAATGTGCTAAATGCCTCTCTAGTAAAGAGTCATACAAGAAGTCTGCAGTAGCCAGTGAAAAATCTACATCTAAAACAAACACTGGTCTTACTGTACTTATTCTGGGCCATGCTGCACTCACCCCATCTTATCAACGCCTCCCCCCCCTGTTTTTTGTTTTTTTTAAATGATCGTTCAGTATTCCTTTTCTTTATCTACTTCTGTTTCCTGATGACCCATTTGTCATTAGTTTCCAGGAATGTTTCTCGGCTACACTGTCTCAGTACATTGCTTTTTTTATAGCTTAACCCAGTGTTGGCTAATCTTGGTACTACAGATGTTTTGAGGTCTACAGTTATTTATGATGTTCATCCAAATGGTCAGCAGACGTATAAAAACAGTTAGTTATTTTTAACTTATTGCTCTGCTCTATGTGTAATTGTGAGAATAGGTGAATAAGGATGCACCCACTCAAAAACTATCAAGCAGGGCAATTTCTTTTCTAAATCTGTTTTATTCTATATTATATTTGTGGGTGCTTTTGCAAACTCACATTTATAGAAAATCTATCCTCTGGTCATCTACCTTCAGAGTGTTGACATTAATGATGGTTGAGCATCATGGGTAATGTGGACCTCGAATAACTGCAGTGCCAGTTCGTTGTTGCTGCTTTAGATAATTCCACAAAGCAGTGTGATTGTTCTGATCACCATTAAGCAGTGTCACTACAAATAGGACATGTCATGGAAAATAGCTTGTTAATTTGTAAGCCACTCTTTATTTTTGTTAGCTATGAAAACATACTTGATTCATATATATCATTTTTTTTTTTAACTCTCTTGGTAGTGTTTTTTTGTTATACAAATCTGTTAATGTTAGGCTCTGAAAAGCTGCATCTGGACTGGACTGGAATATAACCACAACTGGAGTTTACACCTAGAGTAAAAGTGTTTTTTGTGTGTATGGGTTAGAACTTTGGTAGCCAACCAGTAACACTTCAGGTGCTGTGGTACTAAATCTCCCATGTCACAGCCGGCATAGAATCACGTGGTATGTCTACAGCAGCAGGAGAGACACCACTGGCTTAGGTAATTTACATGTGTTGACATAGTTTATATCATATTCCCTGCAAAAACACGATACAGAAATAAATTACTTAAATAATTTGAAGAGAGATCATCCCTATTAGAGCCATATTAAAAGCTTTTGCTATTTAAGAGCTGTGTTGCACCCCAATCCGATGTGAAGTAGCACACGGAGACACATTCATTTATAGTAAAGTACCAGTTAGAATTGCTTTTCTGTTGCAAGTTATGCAATGTATTAACAGTAGAGCTGGAAGGGGGACGGGGGAATGTACTCAGAGCTATATTCTGATTGGCTGCTTGGTTCTGGATCAGTCAGAATACAGCTAAAATCTACAGCATAGTTCATGATTAGAAAAGTGTTTAGACTAGAAATTGCAATCTTCTACAGAACAACAAACTCAAACTAAACTGAAACATTAGAATGTCCAAGTGTATTTCGGACTGAGAACAGAAAGGTCTACCATAGCAATCCTGTAAAACCTACTCTAGGGTTTGTAGAATTTGCCCTCCCTGCTTTTTAAGATGTGCTCACATGGTGAATTTACCTTTCCAATGCTTTCTGTGTCATCCTCTAATACAGCATGCTGCACCTTGCATAGTTTCTGCCAAACATGCATTAAATAACCTAATCTTCTCTAGTTCATGGCCGCCCGTACCTTCTGTAACCCACTGCCATCTGAAACGTCTCTGGCTTACTGCCACCCATGTCTTCTGTAGTCCAGAAGTCGTCAGAATGTTATTGCAAGACATCTGAAGAGCTACGTTAAGCACCTGATTTTTCTTTTTATTTATTTTAGTGTTGCAATATTTTGGGAAATGTATGCATAAACGCAGCAATAATGGAAGTGTTATTTACCATTTTATCCCAACTTAGTGTAAGAATTGTGCAGGCCAACTTTCAGTATTTTTTTTTAAATGTGTATTTATTTTAATATATGTTTTTATATTTACTTTTTTTTTTTTGTAGCCAACACGAAACAAAGCCTTCAAACTCCAACGCTGTTTGACGCTAGCTTGTCTGAAATTCTAGCCACATATAATGCAAACTTGCATAAATGTAATTTATATTTTGAGCCGTAAAGGGTCATCCAACTGCCACATTTCAAAGCCTAAACACTTCAAGCACTGCTTGTGATGTGTTCTAATTGATATATTCCATGTCATTAAAGAACTCATCTCTATTGGGGAGTAATTTTAATAATTTACCCATAATGAGGGAGGTTGTTCAACATGGCTTGTATGTTTCTTTAGATTCTTCTTTTTCTCAATAGTCCACATATTCTGTGGCAGTAGATGTTGGTAGATATGCAAAAAAGGTTTTGTCCGAATCATAAGCCTTTTAATCAACACCCAAGCAAATCAATGTATCAATTTATTTCCCCGACAGATACATTAATTTCAGTATGGTTAAAAGGCTTTTGATTCGGCTCAATTGACTTTATGGGCAAAACACATTTTTGTACATATCTAGATGTTGGTCTTTGAAGTGCAGTCTATCTAAGTTGGGAAGTTGGCACTTTGCAACAATGAGACGCCACTCACAAGCAATGCACCAGTTTAGTATACACTTGGGGCTCAAGGATAATGTATTGTCTCTTTCCGCCCAAGTAAACACCTCACCTCTAAATCTTATGTCACGTATTTTCTTTAAGTGGCAAGTAACGCCCTTTAACCTAAATGTCCAGTACTATACACAGAATATAGATCCATCAGTGACCATGGTTTAGAGCACGGTTGCCCAAAAGGTAGATCCCCAGATGTTGTAGAATTACAACTCTCATGATTGCTTTAGAATGACAAGGCATCATTTAAGTTGTAGTTTTAAAACGTCTAGGGGGGATCTACCTTTTGGGCTCTCCTGGGTTAGAGAGGGTCCATTTCATAAATTGGATCACTCTTGTTAATAGTTTAGGCCCATTAGCAACACAGATTAATCCAAAATCAAACTTGAAACATTAATCGAAAAAACTATTTTGGTGTTGGCTGCTGCCTGAAATAAGATACAATTTTCTGTTATTTTTTTTTATACAGTAATACAATTGTCTGTTATTTTTTATGGTTTATGAGCAGATACGAGCAGGTTAGTTTAACTGGATGGCCATATTCCCTTTGATGGTTAAATAAAAAAATGTATAGTTTTCTGTGGCAAGTAGCCTCTCTGTATGTGTACACTGACTCTCCTTTTATCATACAGATACATAACAATTTCTATATATCTTTTTTAAATTTATGATGTGAAAAGGAGGCATTTCAAAAATCTAGATATATATCATAGCCTGTCTTTTAAAATTAATTCCTAACAAGAATCGTTCAACCTTCTATCTTAATTGTTAATGTAAAAAAGTGTTGTAAGGCACCTTAAGTAAAATAGTCTGTTACTTTGGATAAAATTTTTTAGTTTTTAAAGAGAAAGCCAGCAAACCATGTGAATGTCACTGCATTTTGATACTACAGCAGAATTTGTATATGTATAATTATTTTTATTTTATTTTGCTGAGATACTGTCATTTGCAATTGTGGCATTGTAAAATTAGTAGCCGCACTACACATTTATATATCTCTTTCTATGGCTCATTGTTAACTACATGACCTCTAGTGACAGTCAGAGAAAGATTTGCAAGAGAACCACAACATAAAAACTTGAGATGCGTGTAGAAAGATGCTGCAGACGCTCCTAGTAAAAAGGTTAATTCAAAACATGAATTGAGAGTTTATTTAGAGAATTCTGCTGCCATTTTTAACTTTATTCACTGGCCAAAATGTAGAATCTAAAGTAGCTAAATGGTTGATGTAAAAGAAAATGTATTTTTCCTGCATTGCTTCTGTAAATACATATGTTCCTCTTTGCTGTAAGGTATCCATTTTAATTTATTGTAAATCATCCCAAACAGCGTGTAACTTAAAAATGCAGTGTATTCAATGCATTTTTAAAAGTAAATGCACCATTTTGTGGCAGTGTGCCACTGACTAGATCAGAATTGGGCACCCTGCCTTCAAAACATTGAAGTCTTAAAGGAACACTATAGCTTTAGGAATACAAACCTGTATTCCGAACACTATAGTGCCAGTGTCCCAGTCATAGACAGGTCCCCCAAACCCATGTTCTATAAAATGTAAAAAAATGTAAGTTCTAACTTATTAATTACTCTTCCCTCCCCATCCCCCCACCCACCTCTCCCGTGCTGAAGCTTCCTTGGTGCTGCTCACCTCTACACCTCCAGCTTCTTATCAAGGAGGCATGGCCCCATCCGCAATTGTCCAATCCAATGCTTTTCTTAGATGTGCATGTGCAGTACACGTCTGTGCGCACATTCAGGCTTCCCCATAGGAAAGCATTTTCTTCATTGCTTTCCTATGAGCTTCCGTGTCACGTGACAAAGTTTCACTCGGTCAGTGCTGTGGAAGTGCCTCTAGTGGCAGTCTGGAAGAGACTGAGAATATTTTACATTGCAGGGTTTATAGGACCAGGGCCACCTCACCAAGGCCACTTTAATGTGATGAAGTGGTCTGGGTGACTTCAATCCTTCACCATGATTGGGTTGTCATCATCCTTGACAAGCCCAATAGCTGGCCAAATACATATTTTTTAATTTTTTTTTACACTAAAGCTGCATTTTTAGTAACTTTTTTTTTTTATATATATATATAGATACTTAGCTTAACTTATTTTTGCAAAAAATAGCAGTATCTCCTTTGTCAGCCTTCTGCCTCTCAGGTTTTTCTGTCAGCCTTGCCTGCTTTAATGTTTCTCTAATAAATGGTAGAAATCAGGTACCGCTGAACCTTAGTCTGGTAGAGGATTGTGGGAGTTATCTCAGTTGGGCACAAAGAATATAGACTTCCACTCAATCCTTTGCCCTCTTTCCCAGGCTTGCGCTTCCATCCTGTAATGAACGTTCACACAGAACATTTTCCTTTTAATGTGCAAATTGAACATATTGTATTCCTTCTTCCTATACAGGCGAGTTAGGCATTCAATAGTTGATTGTTTTTTTTGAAGACACTTAACTTTATAGAACATGTCACTTAAGCCAGTAAAGCCTTGTACTGCTGCAGTCATACCTTCTCTGCTATTCTGGCCTTTCCATTTTTTAATAATTTTTTTTCCATTTTATTTTGAGATGCTGTTACTGAAACGCTGCTATAAACTAATTGCATGGAGAAACCAAACACTAAGACATTGTATCAGAGTCTATCCAACGCTAAAATACTCCCCATCCTCCCCCCACTGCACTCATGTCCTCTTTCATATCCCCCAAACCTATTTCTGGACAATTACATATTGTAATTGTTGGAACTAGACATATCACCATTGTAAATTTTCCACTACCAATGGAATGTATTTTGATTGTTGGCACACTAAGCAATACGTAACGCAGGGCTGGCTATTCTGTCTCTCCCTGAAAGGGCCACGGTTAGCCAGTCTTTGTTGCACCGGGATCACTACACATTGTCCATGTTGCACGGCAAGAACATGTAACCAACAAAGAAACACATCCTACAGAGTCCTGCGGTTCTGCTGGAATTGTTAGTGTGGCACATCACTGCCACCTTTACACTAAACCAGTGCTTTATGGGTTGTTTTTCATTTCTTTGTATTTTATTTTTAATTGGTTCTTGTAATATATTTTGTTGCTTTTTTATTTAATTCTCACTGTTTTATTGTCTGACTGTGAACTGCTAACAGTGTTATATGTGATGTGAATGTGACTCCTTGAGCGAACACATTTCTTTTTGTTATTTTTAAGAAAATGAAAATAAAAAAATGAAAAAAAGGAAGTTGCAATATTTTATCGCAAATAAACTTGAAGCCTCTGCTTAACATGTCTCTGTTTTATTTTTTGTTTTCTACCTCACACTCACTGAGATTTTATCCCCTAAGATGAACTTTACCTACCACACGCATTCCCTGAGCTAGGGGTGCCCAAATGTTGCTGAATCATACTTAGCATGATGCTTTGCATGTCTTTATAATGACAACGTATCATGGTAGTTGTAATTTTGAAACCTCTGGGGATCTACCTTTTGGGCACCCCTGCATCACTTTGAGACAACGTCTCATTGAAAATCTTTTTTTGAATGAGACAGTTGCCTCACCCTGCAAGCTGAAACAAGCAGGTACATTTATTTATTTACCACTAAGTGTCCTATTCCTAGGAATGCTGAAAAAGGTGCATTAAACATGCCTGAGAGATTAACACATGTGCAGTTGGAAGATTTCCTCTCCCCATCAGGATGTAGCAAGGAGAAGATGTGTGATCAGTATGATCACGCAGAGCAGGTTCCAGTGTCTGGTTTCTGTCATTAGTAGACTGGTCTGAAACTGAGATGGATGGATAAGGAGAGAGGGAGTGCTGAGGAAATTCACCCATCTGAGAGGCATGCTCAACAATGCAATCTGACCAAGTTAATAGTAAGTTTATAAACCATTGTTGAATACTTAATGTTTTGTTTTTTTCTTTATTTCGGTTTGGGTATGTTTGCTGGTTTAACCCCTTAAGGGCACAGCTTCAGAAGCTTGTCTTACGCTTGAGGACACAAGCCATTTTTGCATTTTTTGCTGTTTGTGTTCAAACACAATTTGCATCTCTGTCATTTATTGCACCAACACACATTATACATTGTTTTTTTTAGAGGGTACACAGGGCTTTAATTTGATGTCACAAATACATGGATACATTCTCATTAATTCACAGTTTTGACAATAATAGCGTGTGCATAATATGTCCAGCTTAGAAAAAGTAACTCAAAATTAATTTGTGTCTTGATTTATAGAGTACACCATATGTATTGGATTTGAGCTTATTTTGAAAGTTACAGGTCACAAAATACAAGGACTAAAATAAAATTTCAATTTGCAACAATTTTAGAAGTTGATATGCTTGTCTTGTAGGTTTAGTAGCCACCACAGAAAAAAAAAATTGCCACACAAAATTATATTTAGACATCACAGGGTATTTACCTAAGGTTGGTTTGACACTTTTTACGTAGCCATTTCATCACCAATCTCTGCTAAATGTTGGAGTAAAAAAAATTTTTTTCTTTATTTTGGCATATACACATAAAACAAGGTTTTTGTAATGTGTATTTCGTAAAGCTGGTGTGTGCTATTCCTGCACAGAACCCAATATTGTGTTCAGCTACATCTGCTGAGTATAACAATACCACCAGTATATGCCTTTGGCACTTTTATGCAAAGCTACAATGCCATATAAGAGACAAAGCTATTTCAGTTTCTATAGTTAGAATTTTCGTAGATGGATTTGACGGGCCTATGTCTCATTTTAGGTTATTAAAACAGTGTGACTGTTCAAATAACCCCACAAAGGGCTTATATTTGATAAAGCAGACACCCCAGGGTATCTTATATGGTGTATATTGTGCCTTAACTTGTCACCCTTTTTTCCACCAATTAATGTCGATGTTTGTGGTGGGGGGAGGGGTAATTGCATTTTTTTACATATATGTTGCATTTTTGCTGAGTATTTTTTACACTTAATATGTACCACTGTCATAAAAATCACCAAACTATGCTCAGTTACATCATCTGTGTAAAACAATGTGTCCAATGTATGACATAGACACTATTTTGTGAAGTTACAGGGCTGTAAAAGAGACGTGACAAGTTCAGGTTTCTAAGTGTGAATTTTCATGGAGGGTATTGATGCGTCAGTGTCCCACTTTGGTGCACTTGAACAGGCTACATATTCCAACTACACCATAAAGGCATACCATTTCTTAAAGAAGACATCCCAGGGTATTTGAAAAGGCATATTTTGAACCTTGGCGTAGGATAATTTTTCCGCTTGCTTGTACCAAGTGTAGTGGTAATAAGCATTTTTTTCTGCCTTTTTGACAGACAAAGTGAGTTTGCACAGTATATTTTGCAAATCGTATGTGTGCTATGACTGTATAATACTTCATATGTTGCTCAGCTATGTCGGCTGAGTACAGCAATACCCCCGGATGTACCTTTGTCAGGTATATGTGGACGTGGACATGGAAGGGGCACATTTGAGACACAGCCATTCCAGTTTTTTTCAAACTTTAAATGTCCCATTTTAGAGTATTGTAGCAGGCTATATAATCCAACAACCCTATAAAGCCATACCACTTCTTAAAGACATCCCAGGGTATTTCAAAAGGCATATTTTCCTCTTTTTTTTTGCATTGATATCGTTAGCTATTTGATACAAAGGGCATACTAAATATCATTTAAATAATTGTTTGAAAAGACTGAGTACTTGGCACTGAAATGCTCAACACTTATGTAGTATATTGTACTGTCACAGGATAGATATGTTTTGTATGGATACATCCTTATTGTATTAAAACGAGATTTGCTTGCCATTGCTACTAATAATCATTTTGGTATAGAGGATTCGCTTGGTCCGTTATACCGGAAGTGACGAAAGCGTTCCAAGGTGGAACGCATGCCATCAGCTGCAATCAATAATCTTCACTTTCTGGCGGATATAAAAGCAGAACCCGGTCGGATTGGATTCATACATCCCTGAGGAATTCCAGAAGAGGACGAAACGCGTTGGAGTTTTTGTTCATTTGAAATTTTTTTATTTTATCTTTGGTGCTGCCTGCAGCTTCTGCTGTGATTTTACTGGCTGATACACGAGGATGCCACCTTGGTGTGGAGACATGCTGTCTTTGCTTTGAAACATTGTGAGTGCAATACATACAATAAATTGTTATATTTTTATACAATCTGCACTATCTATTTTTCCCTTTTATTTGAGTGGGCGAGAAGATTTACTACTTTATATCCAGAATTGCATCACTGGAGGTTCTTCATACTTCACTAGTTCCCTAATACTAAGGGAGATACCCCCCTCTATATGTGTTAATTGTATTAAACGATTTTTATATCTCTCCCTATAGATATATATCTAAGGTAGAACACATCAACGCTATACAGTTTGTATTTTCCATTATTATCACTTTGTTGTGAATAACACAGTCCTTCCCTTTTGTTTTTTTCATTTTTATTAATATTTTGAACCTTAGCGTGGGATCATTTTTCTGCTAGCTTGTACCAAGTGTTGTGGTAATGAGCGTTTTTTCTGCCCTTTTCATACACTCCGTATATTTTGCAAACCTTATGCGTGTTACGACTGTATAATACTTCATATGTTTCTCAGCTATGTCATCTGAATACAGCACATCCACTGGGGGCTGGAAGGTGTGAGGTGGTTGCTTCATCAAGCTCCTGCTGTTGCTGGAGGTTTTGGGCGTCGGCTGGATTTTGTTTGTTTTTCCCTCTTTGTGTTTGGGCTGATGACTTGCTCGACAAGGGGGTTCTGCTTGGGCCTTGTTTAACATGGTTTCAGGCCTTCCTCCCTGGCCTGGGGATGAAAGGTCAGGCTGGAGGAACTTCAGGGGAGTCTGGCCTTTGGGGAGGGAAGACCTGCTACTTTGAGCCTGTCATGGACAGAACACCAGGCCCTCTCAAGGCAGGTGAGGAAACAAGTGTCCCTGCTGGAAGAACTGGTGGGTGGGATGGCTTCTAAGGTAGCTGCATGGAAGAAGGGAGTGTGGGTCCCCCAGGGAGCGACGGTCTCCACCAAGACCGATATTCTGCTGCTCTCTGGGGTGATTTCTGAATGTAGAGAGCTAATACTATCTGGCCTCCACTTCATGGAGCAGCCCCCTTGCCGCGGGACATCGGAGAGGGTCCCGAGGAGGTGGTTCACGAAACCCCCCCCCTTAGGAGGTAAGTACTACCGATGCCCCTCAGGCCCCCCTCACCTATGCTGAGGTGACGAAGGGTGAGGGGGTGATGGCTAGGGCGTTCAGGGAGCTACCTTCTGACAGGCTCCAGGGACTGCTGAAGGCCCAGCATGCTGAGGCAAACTCCGACCTTGCTGGGGTCCAGGCAGAACTCCGAGAACAGAGGGAGAAGTCCAACAGGGCCTCAAGTCACAAGCAAGGCCCTATGAGGGCCATCATCAGCCAGAAGAAATTGGAGGAGCAGCAGTTGGCTTACAGCCTGCTCAGGGTGGAGTCTAAGTCTGTCCTGCAGCAGCGTGCTAAGGCTGCTGTGAAGACACAAAGGCAGAGTTCCCTGGAGGGTAGGAGGGTTATGTCTACTTGCGAGGAGTCTAGTCTGGAGTCGGAGGCTGACTCAGTCCCTCTCCCTCAGCCGCATCAGGGGGCACAGCGTCACCTGCAGTGGGCACAGGGAGAAAGGCCGGAGGGAGAAGGAGTGAAGCATAGTGGAAAAAGGGAGAAGAGTGGAGGCTGAATGTCGGGCATGACAGGTGTTGAGGACTGATCAAAGAGTCTCTCCTCAAGTTTGGTGATGAACTTGGGGAGGGCTCTGTTGGAAAGAAAAAGAGAAGAAAAACATTGCCCAGCGCCAGTCTGAGACCCCTGTCTGGATCCACGGAGGATGGTGAGTTTACCCCCTGAGAGTTTGTCTTCACTGAGGAGGAGTTTCCATCTTTGCAGGCTCTTGGGGCCAAGGATACTACCCCCACAGGTGGCAACGCCTGTGTGCCTCAGGAGTCTGCCCACCCTTCCTCTGCTAATGTGACAGAGAGGCTATCCCCGCTGGTACCGTGACTGGAGCCTGTGATCCCATGGAGGGGCCCTTCCTTCCCTCCCTCTGACCTTCCTCCTGTTGTGTCTGCTGCTGGTCCCCCTGGTGCGGCTGGATCCTCTGCCTCCTGTCCTCAGGCGGTTGCAGGACGGACTGGCGGTGCAGGATTCAGCCTGGAGCGGGAAGGAGCATAGTGTTCAGTGAAAAGGTCTGCTGCAGTTTCCGGTACCGTGCAGCCTGTTGTGAGGAAAGGTGCTACGTCGGCGCAG